CGTACTCACTACGCTTGTCCAATTGCGGGTTGGTGAGTCTATTTAACTCATAGTCGGACGTTTTGAATTCAGAGTTGTCATAGACCGGTTGCCACCAAAGTCTGTTCTACATAGCTGGGGAGAGAAGAGATGGATTCATATTTTCCCAAGGGTATTGGCACGTAATTAGTAAATGTAACGAACTGAAATTCGAATTCGATTCCTCAATCCGAGCCATTATCCATGACTCCACCGTACCTCCGCACACTCATTGAGATAAAATATTTACTCTGTAATTTTCACAATTGCTTCTGGCTTTTGTCAATAACTCGTACGTTTCATTATATTTGATTTTGTATACATAAACTTTTGGTAGATGTACAATGAGCAAAAGAAATTCTCATGAATGTAATGAATGGAGATTTTTTTTTTTTTTGTAGTAAACATAGCAAAAAATCGCTTTCGAATATTGAAGAAATACGAAAAAGGCTTGAGAATAAAATAGCGAAAAGAAAAGATAGAAGAATTCTTGTTTAATCATTTCACCCAAGCAAGCCGATAAAACTCAAGGGGCTACAGAGAAACTGAGAAAACGTCAATGAGGAGAAAGGACAATAATAGAACTGACATTATGAAGAAAGAAGGTAACAACTGATATTAATTAAAATACTTGAAGATCTAAATTGACAGTAAGACAAGAAGGTGGAAGACAGTTCCACAAACGAGAAATGTGAGAGAAGAAACTGTTAGCATAGAATTTATGATTGCATCTAGCAATTTCAATAGTAAAATGATGAGACCGAGCTACCAATGTAGTACTAAGTTTAAATTCATTAAATCGAGATACCAATAAGGTAAGCTCATCAGAAAAATTGGGATGAAAACATTTACAGAAAAGGCACATTGAAGTTATGTTATGGCAGTGGATAAGTGACTGAAACTGAGATGCCAGGTCAGGACCAATAACATTGCAGATTCTTCTTTTTATTTTCCCAAGAATCCCTAAATACATGGTAAAAGCACCAGACCAGATATAGCGACAACATTCAGTTTACAGACTAAAGATGCAAGACAGATTTCATTGTTTGAAAATAGACTTATTGAAGGGATCCCTGTTAGCCAAATCTTTAAAGAAATACAAAAAATTGTACTCACATGTACATACAGCTCATACCCTACGAAGGGCGTTATCTATGTAAAATGTGTGATCTTAGTTTCTTTTTTGTTTTGTTTTTATTTTTTCAAAAGATACCATTTCTGACCTTAGGTCTCTGGTTGGGACCCAGAAAGAAATGAGTATACAACAGAAAGATCTAATTGATATGGCTTGTCCAGCGGATTGTAACATAGCAACCAAGGAATTTGAAAAACTATCAAAATACAAAAACCTGGAAATTGAAATAGAAAAAATGTGGAAATTGAAAACAAGAATAATACCATGGTAATAGGTACTTGGAATTATAAAAATGGAACAAAACAACAAAAGAATCCCTGAAACCCCAGCTTAAGAGATACAGAAAAATTGTCTTATTAAGTACAGCACACACACTAAGGAGAACTTTGTCTATGTAACGCTAGCAACTTCACCGAAATGTGGCCATAACAACACACCACGACCTGCCTTAGGTCTTTCCGCAGACTTGGTAGGTAGTGTGTCCATAGCAGAAATCGAATGATGATGATAATAATAATAATAATAAACAAACAAAATGAATGACATAACTTCCAATATTTCTCAACACTTAGAGAAGAGCGCGATTTAAGAAAAGAAAAGACAGTATTTGACAATGTTCAACTATATCTCGACAGTGTCTGTTTTCTTCAATTCATGTTTAAAAATTGTATACAAGTATAAAAATATTTAAAAAAATCTATTAAAAATGATGAGTCTTTGATCAAACGTCGCTTGCCTTGAGAAAAGCGGGTGTTACTGGTAATCACGAGTCAAAACAAATGAAACAGCCATCGTGAATGGCATGTAAACTGAAACGTGCGTAGTATAAGGTAGTTTACATATAACAATTTTTTGTAACCTAATTATGTACAATACAATAATGGATCATATGCAATATAGATGAACAATTCAAATAGAAAATTGAAAATAAATGCAATGTATCTAAATACAAATTAAAGAGACATGTCATAGGTCAATCTATCTTAAATAAACCAACAATATTTTACAGTAATTTTTAACATCAACTCGTGATTTTATGCTATAAATTAAATATAGTGAATTTTATATAGTGTTTTTTTCGAGACTTAGTATGAGAAAAACAAATTCACGGATTTGGACAAAAAAAAAACAAACTCAGAATGACGTCAAAATCCGAGAAATTTTTTTATCCTTTAATAATAGTCAGTTGTGTTTAGTTTAATTTGTAACGTATATAAATGTCGGTAGAAAAAAGATATATAGTTAGACTCATAAAGCACTGCTCAGGGCCCCCAATCAGGCACCCCACCCGGTTCGCTTACACACCAGTCCTCCATCACTGCGTCGAATAAAATCTGTTCGCTAGCCTAAGTTGGCTAGCCTACATAAGTTCCCTCAAATCTTCACGTCTTTATGATATTAAATATTTCTTCACTTTCTTGCCTGTTTTAGAATTGTTGAAACGTGTGCATTGTTTTGTAAAGTGCTATGTAATTTATTTTAAAGCTTCTAGAAAATCTGGCCGTCATTTTCTACACACCGGGATTACAATATTAGACTATTTGCAAGTCCAGCACTAATAAATTTTAAATTTCGCTCCTTAGGACTTATGGGGCTGCTCCATTTTTTTAAATGCACTTTTTTAATAAAATGGTTAAAAAAAAAAAAACGAAAAAAAAACAATCAACCTTCTTAATAAATGGTTGATTTTTTCAGCCATTTTATTGAAAAAGTGCATCATCATGAACAAAGTTTTCGTGTGAAGCGTTTCGTCCTTTAAGACTTCATTGGACTACTTTTTCACGAAAATTTTTCCCATATATATTTTTAATTTTGTCGTAATTTTCCTTAACATTGTTCTTGATATATAAACATTTATATCGTTTCCTTTTTGAACAATAAGAAAATAAAAAATTAAAATCATTAGACACACTGGGTTGTAGATTAATATTCTTTCGTTTTTTTATTATTATTATTCCATTTAGATTCCTCGACTAGTTTCGACCGAAATGGCCATCATCGGGAGGAGAAATATTTCTGCTTGCTGTTGGCAGTGAACTACAGAAATGAATGTCTTTTGTTGGAGAAAATGAACTTTTGTCTGTAGTTTTCATTTGTTTTTTTATTTTTTTTATCTTTTTCACATGAATCTTTTAACATTCCTTGTGTTGGTCAAACAGTCTCTTTTAAGTTGTTATTTGAGATAAGAACTGGATAGATACATTTTATCCTGAATTCTCTGGTCAGTTTGACAGTTTTATTGGACCTGGTGAGGGGATGTGTCTCTGTTTAGTGTTTGTGTGTGTGTTATTTGGTTCTTAGGGAGTGAGTGAGTATGATATGTGTAAGCGTGTGTATTGCTACGAGGTCTGGCTGAAAATATTTAACGGATAAAAATCTACCTAAAACAATTGCTTAGACTCTTTTGAACACTTCAGGCATTTATCGCTGCATCCTTTCCACTTTCTAGTACAATTTACAAAGTCCTCTTTCGGGAACGCCATTAGCTGATTTGTCGCGTTCTCCTTGATCTCGTCGTCACCATTTCAGCAGCAATTTTTTCTTTGAAAGGAGCCAGATATTGTATATTAAATTAATTAATAATTAAATACTATATTTAATGCTATATCGAGTGTATATGGAAAAAAAATTGCATGGAAAATTTAAGAAATCCCGATGATCTATGGTTGATAAAAGCAAATATTTGCTTAGAGAAGAGCTCCATCACCGTATATAATAGACAGGGTGTTTTTCTTCAAATGCCAAAGAATGCGTCTTATATGCTGTTAAAAATGCTTTATTAAAAATACTCTTTGTTATTTTGTCTTTATTTTGCCCTGTTACTTTCTTTATATTCTTCATTGTGGCTAAATACTGATTGTAACATTACGTTATTCTCAAAAGTTGGGCATTTATGCCTTATTTATAGTAATCGAACGGCACTAACATAATGTTTTACATGATATCAGTAACTTGGGATATAAGAATCAATGTTTTTTGTTTTGTTATTTTTTTTAGGAAAGTAAACGTTACTCTCACAAAAAACATGCTTTCAATATTCCTATTTTACTCAGTAAGAGAATATTGAAAGCTTCGTGCATGCCATAGATGAGTATGAACAAACTGCCAAACATTATGATATATAGATGACCGTTCGTTGTTTGTATCATCTACCAACCCGTGAATGTTTTCATAGGATGACCAATTCGTCCAGAATTGGAAAGAGTAAAACGTTTTCGAGTAATCTGACACAGAATAAAAAATATTTCGACGACTGAATTTTCGTGGTTATGTATGCGCACGGATTCTCCTGTTCTTGTACCGGATTGACAATCCCAATTTGAAAATATACGTTTCTTTTTATAAAAAAAATGATTTCTTTTCTTTACGACTCGTTAAATTCTTTCTATGCGTGACTGGGGTTTGTGTACAAAAGAAAACCAAAAATTGTGTATGTTATGTAGGTGTGGAAGCAAAAAAAAAAAAAAAAAAAAAGGAAAAAAGAAAAGGGAGTTATAAATGAAGCAGTCTTTCTATCATATTCAGTTGACCGCCGGATGGTAAACCAAACCTAAAAAAAAACATTGATAGTCAAGTGAACCCAACGGAAAGACGCTGAATGAGTCACATGACCTATTCCCTCCAGCACCGCCTTTTCGTACGCTTAGGTCAACGCAAAATCTCATATACCTTCCTACTTAGGTAAATATTAATTTTATAAGGAAACATCCACCCACAAAAGAGTATAAAAACTATTTTCTTTCTGAGAAATCATTAGTTGAACTCCAGAGTACTTGCACGTGTGTTGAGACCAACATTCTTCTACTGCTTCTCTGAAAAACACATAGAACTTAAAACTCAATACAAAATGAAGGCAATTCTGCCTCTTGCTGCTTTTCTAAGTGTTTATGTTACTCTTGCGTTTGCGCAACACATTCATCTCTCCAGTAAGTAATCAATTAATTGTTTAATTTGAAAGTGAACAATTTTTATGATATCGATATTATTTTTTGTTAAATTTATTTTCAAATATACACAAAAAACAACAAATTCGGAGATAGGGTTTCAATCTGGGCATTCGGGCTTGTCTATATTTATTCACAGACTATCTATTGATTTTGATTCGATTAGAAACAGCATCGGTTTTTGTGGTGCAGATAAATGTTATTGTTAGCAATAACATCCATTGCGTTGCGATATAAATGCATAGACAGTGCATGCATGCGCATCCCCAGCTCAATGTAGCAGTTAATTTTAATAGTATGAGGATGCAATATTTTATATTTTTTTAATTGCAAATGTTACAAGTGGAAATCATCCCCAATTTTTTCTATTTTATTGAGATTAATCAGAGAAATATCGCAGAAAAATTTAAAGCAAATCCAACATTTTTTTCTATGGAATTTTCCGCATAGTTTGGGAGGTAGTCACATGAAGCAAAAGATTTTTTTTTTCCTGAATTTGTTGTATGACTTGAGATATTTGTAATAATTATTAGTTATCGAGGATTAATTACGTTTATCTACGAAAGTGTTTCGTTTATTTTCTTAAAAAGTAAGTACGCGGAAAATGTATGCTCGCGTCAAGAGGCCGACATCAAAAACATAATCAATTATTTTAAGACATTTTTATAATATTATTAAGCAATTATAATCATAAATGATACATTCTGTCTGCTTGCGTGTCTGTAACATCTCACAAATATCGATAACATAAGAAGTTTTGTGTTTTTTTTTTATTTCTTTGCAATTTTTATTGAGCTCAGCGCTCTCCCAAATGTTCAGTACGAGGGTAACGTCGCATATTTTACACATCTTTTCGTGGGTCAGTGAAATTATCCATAAAAAAGATGTAAAAGTAAAATATACAATGTGACTCTTGATGATTACTCTTTTCTTCCCGCTCATTAATAATATTTCTGTTCCTAAGACCGATTAATATATATATATATATATATATATATATATATATATATATATATATATATATATATATATATATATTATATTATATTATATATATATATCTGAGAAGAGGTGTTGTAATTATTTACCACTTCTGGGTTGTATGCCAAAAAAGATGGGAAAAACAGTCATTAATAATATTTCTGTTCCAAATTTTTCCACGCCTAGTAAACCCAGTGTCTAACCTAGTGTCTTAGTGATTTTACTCAACTGTCTTGTTTGGGGTGAAACCGATTAATATATATATATATATATATATATATATATATATATATATATAAATAAAAAAAAAGAACAGTAAGATATAAAAAATTATTTTATAGATATTTTATTTTTACAAAATAGTGCTCAATGTAAATTTACAGGCAAAAAAATTAATTGGAAAAAATATGGTTATTTTCGCTACACAGTTCCAACCATATTTCAAAAATAGAAGTGTTTTATTTTTTGCAAATAAATTAAAAGCATTAGTTCTATTTCATCTTCAAGATTTTTTCTATTTTGAAACATGAGAGTTGAATCAGACCAGAAAATAACCATATTTTAAATCAATTAATTTATAATATATATATATATATATATATATATATATATTTCTGAGAAAAAATTTACACTATTTACATACTTCGGGCTGTATGGCAAAAAGACGGGGAAAGGTCAGAAGAATATAACTAGTGTATGAAGATCAGAGTTGAATCAGACCAGAAAACAGTAGTATTAAAAAGTGCTCAATACACATGAGAAAAAATAAGTAAAAATAATATAAGTAAAAATTTTTTACTTATTTTTAAAAGTATATATATATGTGTGTGTGTGTGTGTGATAACGATATATGCATTTTTTATATATCAAGCAAGACGCTCGAACAAGCCAAGCCATTATTAAACGTCAATTATTCGGCTTAAAGGTTTAAATAACAGAGATTAGTTTACTCAAACACGTGTATCCACCAAAATATAATGTTTATTGTGATGAGAAGGAACTCTCTCTCTCTCTCTCTCTCTCTCTATATATATATATATATATATATATATATATATATATATATATATATATATATTAGTCCGACAATTATTAACACTGAAGATAGGAATAAAATGTAAGAAATCATGGCGAAACTTGTAGCTGACGGATGTCACACAAGTCGATACCCGATCAATATCTACTGAGTCACTGTGGAGAGAGGGTACGATGTTGAAAGACCAGGAATCCCTAATGAACCCCTCGGCTAGAGACATCTCACTATTGATATTGTGCCAAAAAAGCATAAAACAGATAAATTTCGCGATACTCTAGTATTTATAGCGGTTTATTAAAAATGTTTTTCCATAAGCTCCGATATCATATATTGCATTTGAAGAACTTAAGCTAAATCTGTCAAGACTAAAAATGGATATAACACCCACATAATGTCATTAAAAAGAGATTCATTTTCTCGCACAATCACTTACCAGCTGTGTATACCTTCTTCGTCAGCAGTGATAGAGGGAAATAATGGAACACTTTTAATCACTTCAGAAAAAGAATGAATAAGAAAATGTAATATAAAAATCCACAATGGGAAGGCAAAATCGCTCCACCAATTTTGTTTTCTGTGCCAATTGGAACAACACCACCTCACCATTCTCTTTCAGATTCTAATTCAAAATTAGATTCCAATGAAATTATTGTGGAGTTCACAATGATACTAATCCCGATTGCGGCCGACCTCATGTATGGAATGGATACATAAGTACATCAATAAGTTCGTAACCTAATAAGGGAAAAAGGACTTATCTTATAAAACAATTATTTATTTTTCAATATTATCTCCTTCCTTGTCAGCGTGAGTGTCTACCAATTATTTACATAAAACATTATCCAGTGAGCATTTCGGATCTAAATACAGTCAATAAGTAGTCATAAGCAGTAACGTGGCTTCCCTGTGTCTTTTCTATAAGTACTTTCATGGCAATTGTTCTGATGAGCTTTCCTCTGTGATACCTTGACTTTATGAATTTAAGCGCAGTACTAGATTGGTGGTAAGGTCTCATCATTTTACAGTTGAAATGGCGAGATGTAACCGTAAGTTCTAGTGCTAACAGTTTCTTCTATCGAAATTCTCGCTTGTGGAACTCTCTTCCGGCCTCTTGCATCCCAGTCAACTTTGATCTTCAAAAATGTAAATGCAATGTCAATCGTTATCTTTTGTCTTCTTTTTTTTATTATCCTCACTCCTTAATAGCAGTTTTTCTCATATTCCCTAACACCCAGTGTTACATTAAGTCATGGAAAACAGGAGAGAGCCGACACGAAATGTGACCAGCATTTATTAGATACCGGAAGAAAGAGATTGAGAAAAGGGTTAGAAAGAAAAGGGACGTATCAGGGAGCGAGAATCACTTTCCTTAACGTCGATTGGGGTGCATAAACTCAAACTGTAATGCAAAGAGAGTATACAATAAACAATAATGTAACACGTAGCAACCTCTTTCGTTTTAGTGGCTTTATTGAAATGATTAAAAAGAAAGTAAATCGGGGTGCGGATTTATTAATTCACTTTTCTAAACTGCCTTAAGAGAAATCGATCTCACTCCATCGATTTCGTCTTCTGAAAACACCACAACACTTCACCATTCTTCTCTTTGAGAAAGTGTAAATTTTGTTAACTCGAGTTGGTTGATCATTATGAATAATGTTCTTTTTTCTTTCTTGTCTTTCTTGTAGAGTACTGTGAAGAGTGCTTACGAAAGAGTGCAACATCCGGACTGTACCCTCATCCAAACAGATGCGATGCTTTTGTAAAATGCGACGTCCTTGAGAAACACTTTCGTGCCTTTGTAATGAATTGTCCTCCTGGTCTCTTCTTTGATGAAAAAAATGGAAACTGTAACTGGAGATGGGCAGTGAATTGCAACAAAGGTACTTCTTGACTTACAAATAATTTTCGAATGATTTTAGGAATAAGTGCGAAATGTGAAGCGTAGTAAAAAAAAGTGCTGTGAATTTAAACAGGTGTTCATCTTTCTTTAGGGTTGCTAACTCTGTCAAGAGAAATAAAAGATATATAAAAGGATATAAATAATATTTTTTAATTTAATTCCTGTAGAGACACAATATAATTGAAAGTGATATTGTATTTTTAACTTCTAAATACAAGAGCTAAATAAAGGATTGTCTTTTCTAATAATGGGTGGTTGGCAACCCTAGTTCCGTAGGACATTTCACACATAAAATCATTCCGCGAATTAATAAAGAACAATTTCTCGCCTTGAATTTTGGCTATCGTATCTCTATTACATTCATACATACTCACTCACTCTCTCACTCTCTCTCACTCATTCACTCACACACACATAAACACATAGTAAGTGAGTGAGAAAGGGAGAGAGAGGGGGAGATGTACATTACACAGTGTAAGAGAGAAATTCATTAATTTGCTATGGCTTTGTTATTCGATGGAAACGGGTTTTTGAAGACAGATCCTTGGAAGTTGTCGGTAGCTGAAAACGAAACCGTGAGCATACCCAGTTAATATTTATTTTAAAGGTTTCAAGGCTTCGGATTTTTCAACAACAATTTGGTTGTTCTATTATTTTTCCTCTCTGTTGCGTAATATGATTCTATATGACGACCGCAGAGAAAAAGGATTCAATCAAATTGTAATTTCCAAAATACAAACCACGAGCGTTGTTTCTCGTATGGTATGTGTGTATGTAACACACACTTATACTTTTATTTGAGGTCTATTTTTTTGTAACTGTTCTACTTTTCGTAATGCAGAATATTTCCTTTTTGACACAAAAATGTTTCGCAAATCCTTCTTGTAAACTTTTGATTCTCTTCTATGCAGATTGTAAGACCGGCCAAGCAATCAAAGATGCTTTTACTTGCAATGGATTCTTCGAATGCATAAATGGCAAACGCAATTATCGGAAAAAGTTTTGTCCCAATATGCAGAGGTTCGATGAAAGTCGATCCAAATGTATACCGGATCCAAACTGTCCACCCCCCAAAAAACCCCTTCGTAAGTATATTTATTACAGTTTGCTTGCACCAGAATCTGGCACAAAGGCTACACTACTTAGAGCGGAATCTACTAAAAATGTGTTTTTTTTCTTTAATACCAATGACATACAACAATAATTGCTATCTATAACTACGAGAAGAATGTAATGATTTACAACACACTCACACACACACACTCTGTGTGTGTGTGTGCAAACAATTTTCTGTTGCCAATTAATTCTCAAGAAAAAAACATAACTCTCTAGCTAGAATATTCGCAAACTATTTTAGTGAATTTATATGATGAGAAAAAATGAAAGAAATACCTCCAAAATTCATTTTTTTTTTCAAAATTCATAATTAGTTACTCGTAGTTATTTGTTTATTTAAATTTTCTTGTTCACATTGGCTGATTACTAACTCCGGAATAATAGCCAGGCTATAAATGTCTCCGATTTAGGGGGTGGGGGTGAGGCATAGGACAGCACAACACAGATATTTTTTTTTAAATTTAGGAATAAAAAAAAATTGTTTTCATAGCTGTTTCTTTAATAAATAATAAATATTGCTGTTTAGTTGGTTCATTTATTTTTATAAACTTGCAAAAAAATTAAAATTATTCTTGAAACAATCTCTCTCTAACAAAATAGCTTTTTCTTGTCAATTCGTGAGAAAAAAGAATGCATGAAAATGATAAATCCAGTTTCATATTGTAAAAATAGCTATTTAAAACAATAAAAATTGCTGAGAGAACCAGTATCGATAAAAAAACAAAAAAAAAACGACTTTTTAAAACACCATTTTTACGGTACGTATGTTTCTTTAAATTTTAAAATAACTGAAGGGTGGCAGCAGTCCTCGTAAAAATGTCAACACTTAGAGAATTTTTATTAAAGAAATAACTTATTACATTAGATTTTGTATTGCATTAGAACAAATACAGTGTATATTTACCTAAAATAACAAGTCTTATGTTCAAATTTGCATCCCTACGTGACGCAGTGAAATAATGTAAAAAGTTAATTGCTGACTCGTGCAACATAGCTCCAACTTTATCCACTTGATTACATCAGGTAGGTAACGAGAGTTGTATCCCTTACAATAATAATAGATCCACGAAAAAATTACCCCAAGCTACAATCAAGTGAAAAATTATTATAATTAGTAGTATCCGTTATTCTGCCAAGGATCAGTATATGGCTGCTTTAAAAAAATGAAACATAAGTTCTATGCCCAGTTTCTTTTCTGGCACTTCTTGCTTGTGTAACTCTCTTAAAGCTTCTTTCTTTCCAATCAACTTTGATCGTCAAAAATTTAAATGCAATGTCAATTGTCATCTGTCTCATTGAATGCTGTTCTTTTATTGCCCTCTTTTCCTTAATCTTGTATCTTAGTAGCTTTATCAGCTTGGGGTGAAATGATTTTAAAAAAAAAAAAATCAAAGTGTCATTTCCCGGCTCTTCAGAGTAACATATGTGATGAAAAGTGTTATAAACACATAGTTTCTGAACTTATTTCTTATTAAATGTTACTTTTAGTAGACATACTAAAATAAATATAAAAATAAATAAAAATAGTGTACCCACTAAAAATAACATTTATAGTTTTTTGCAGATCTGCTCCTAGTAGGACTAAAAGCAGTGGCAAACAAAATTTACACATAAATGACAGGTCATCATTGTTAGTAGGTTCAAGGAAATGGAATAAATATCAACAAGGTGATATTTTCATGTTTTATATACGCCTAATAAATGAATAACAAGAAATAAAATATACTTGTATGTATGCAAAAATAGCTGAAAAGAAAGAAGACATTAAAATCTAGCTATTAAGAATTATGCGCGTCTGTATGTGTGTGATGCGCGTGTGTGTGTGAAAGAGTACAATCGCCCAGGGAGAGATATTATCCCTAATCTGGGAACAAGCTGAAAGCTTCTGTCACATGCTGAAAGGAAAAAGAGTGAAAAGAGGAAGAAACTTGAAATAGTTATATAGTTCCTATACACTTCGCAAACCAAGGAGGTGTGGTTGTAATCTCACAATAATAAATATACTTGGATAATAAAAATCCATTAAAATAAAACACACTAAATGTAAATAATGGATTGCTTGCTGTGTGAAACTTTTTTAGCTATGATTTTACAATGACTTTTATTTTGTTTACAATTTTACTTACTACATACGCAAATGGGAAGATATTTTACGGTGGGGTGGGGGTAGAAGGAATATTCTCTGAGGATTTTGTAATTACTCTGAAAATAACCAGCTTTTACTCTGAAAATGTCAAATTTGTTTGTCCTGTGTATAGGGGTAGGGGTGCCTTCCTCAGACACAGTATGCCTATGAATATATTATTGGCTCGCAACCTGATAATTCAAAACCTTCACGTGCGGAAGTAAAATTGCGCCAAAACTTAGCTGAGCCAACCCGAACATAAAACCTTATAAAAGGAATAATTCCAACTGACCAAGTCAGTCAGTCGCTCAACTCTTGAGCGACTGTTCGGTTCACCTCTCTGTCTACGGACGGAGAGAAACCCGAAGGAGGCTACGCCGAAGGGCGGAGTCTCCTTCGGGGAGGTAAAACCGGCCCAGAACCCGTTCATACGGGTTCAAATGGGCTATTTTTTGGCCGAGCCTAATGGCTCGGGAATTCCCACGTTAAAAAGGCCTTGTGCCACATGACACCCTCGTGGGGGGGGTGACTGAATATTGTCAGTCGCTCAACTCTTGAGCGACTGTTCGGTTCACCTCTCTGTCTACGGACGGAGAGAAACCCGAAGGAGGCTACGCCGAAGGGCGGAGTCTCCTTCGGGAGGTAAATTGGCCCAGAACCCGTTTATACGGGTTCAAATGGAGCTATTTTTGGCCGAGCCTAATGGCTCGGGAATTCCCACGTTAAAAAGGCCTTGTGCCACATGACACCCTCGTGGGGGGGGGTGACTGAATATTGTCAGTCGCTCAAGTCAATCGACTCAGTACTTTCTGAGCGACTGTTCGGTTGAACTCTCTTCCTACGGCCGGGAGGAACCCGAAGGAGGCTACGTCGAAGGGCGGAGTCTCTTTTGGGGAGGTAAACCAGCCCTGAACCCGTTTATACGGGTTCAATGGGCATATTTTTGGCCGAGCCCACGGGCTCGGAATGCCCACATTAAAAAGGCCTTGTGCCACATGACACCCTCGTGGGAGGCGGGTGACTGAATATCGTCAGTCGCTCAAGTTGTGAGAATTTCTTCTCACACAGTTTAACCCTTGGCAGAGACAAGAAAGACAAACAATTCAACAAGGCCTACCTTAAAACTTAAAACAAATTTTATTGTATCCTTGCAAAAAAAGATTTTGCCCTTTTTGCCCCTGGGAACAGGGTAGGGTAGTTCTTCAATGGATAGGTAATGTCTTTTACTTCTGTAGGACACAATCGGTCAATACGAGGTTAGAAAAACTGTCATTATCTGGTCGTTGCTGGAGCATTACCATTTCGGTTGCTGAAGTTGAAACTTGGCTATTGTCGAGTTTGTTCATAAAGTTCTTCGTGTAAAAGTACACATTTAACGATAGTCAATAAATGACTGAATTATACAGCCTTGAAGGAAATAAGATGCTGGAACATGACGTCGTCTCTGAAGCAATTACCATTTGGTTGCTGAAAGGAATCTTCTACAGCCTTGAAGGAAATAAGATGAGACATGAAGTCGACTGAAGCATTACCATTTGGTTGCTGAAAGGAATCTTCTACAGCCTTGAAGGAAATAAGATTGGACATGAAGTTGACTGAAGCATTACCATTTGGTTGCTGCAAGGAATCTTCAATGCCTAATTATTAGGCTTGGACTTAAAAGGCCGTGCAAAGAAATTCAAAATAGAGTCCGGACAATTCCAATAATATTCCGCAACTGTCTCTGAAGCATTACCATTTTGGTTGCTGAAGGACATTCAATGCCTAATTATTTAGGCCTGGGCACTAATAGCCCTGTCAAATAGATTCAAAGTGAGTCCGGACACTTCCAATCCAATGCTTATCCACAACTCAGTCAAAAGGGCGCGGGCCATTGTAAAATGCCCACGAAAAAACCAAGTCAAAATTCGATCAATGAGATTGGCCGTTACAAAATTAGCCAATAGGAGCTTAAATTGCAGAATTTCTTACAAAGTCTTGAACGACAGATCGGTTGAACTCTCTGCCTTCGGGCAGGGAGGAACCCGAAGGTGGCTACGCCGAAGGGCGGATTCTCTTTCGGGGAGGTAAACCGACCCTGAACCCGTTTTTACGGGTTCAATGGGCATATTTTTGGGCCAAGCCCACGGGCTCGGAGATCCCACGTTAAAAAGGCCTTGTGCCACATGAGGCCCTCGGGGGGGGGGGGGACTGAATATCGTCAGTCCAGCAAACACAGAGAAACGCTAATCTCATCCACGTCACTTGCGATTATAATTTTTCCACGCAAACGAGACCACAACTGACTGACTCACAAGCTCGATTCGAAGATTACTCTGTGAATACAAAGAACTTCTACCCGCAAGACTTTACTTAACTAAAGTGAATTATTAACACTCACTACCATTTTAAGTAAATACCACTATCGAACTAACTTAGCATTTACAGTTAAAGGTAGACTACTTTTGAATGACTCAATACTAAAAACATAATAACGACATTCTAAATAAACACTAATTACAATTTTCTAAAAGGTTGTAATACAGATACACAAGACAAAAAAGGACATACAAAAGCTTCAAATACTACGAACATACCAACACATTAACATCTAAAAAATATTTTGTATATAATATTTTTATTTGTATATAAATGCATTTATTGGTTTTGAATTGCATGCATGTTTTTGCCTTGTTTATATCAAGATTTATTTATTGTTGTGGATGTAAGAAAAGATCACGCAACCTGACATAAAAACATCCTTCTGATTTATTTTAATGCTATAGCAAAATCCTTAGTTCATTCTGCGCATCCCCAACAATATATTGTGTGTTGTGTGTTTGTGTGTGTGTGTGTGTGTGTGTGTGTGTGAGAGAGAGAGAGAGAGAGAGAGTGAACTGTTAATTACTTATTTGTTTATTTCAATACTACAACAAAATGGAAAAGAGATCAGAGGAGTAAAGAGTTTTGTTACTCCTTTACTTTTTTGATCTTTTAAAATGTGTGAAGCTTTATTATTATTATTATTATTATTATTATTATTATTTTTTAACGACACCTTACTTAGGAAAGTCTGTAGGCATGTTAAGAGGAATGACCATTGTGGATGTTTGTTTATGGCTGCGTGAATAACATGCCCACACAATTTATATTAAACGTAAAATACCACAAAGTATGAAATACAAGAAGAAGGAACAAAAGGTTTTAAAACAAACATAAATTTGTATTTATTTGTGTGTTGATATACATGCATAGAAGTTAAAGAATTGATGGAGTTATGTCTCTTAGACTGGAAATATTTTTATCGGAGCTCACAAAGTTGGATTAATTATTAAACTATAGTTTTAGAAGGATAAAGTTCTTGTTGCATGTTTGGAAATGTTCAGTATGTTGTAATGTAGATTGCAAAGGTTCGTAAGAGTTCGTATGTACGTGAATGCGTGAAATATTATTTAACGTCTGACCGTCATGGTCAAGACGATAATTCTTTGGGACTACATTTTGCAGCGTGTTTACTATTTATAGATAATGTAATCATTTGACAGGATCAAAAGAACTTGGTGGGAAACTTGACTTAGTCACATGCTGGAAAAATATATTGTGCCTGGGTGGATTGCAACGCCTACTTGTGTGTTTATTGACCAATTAGGAGCTGATTTTTCCTGAAAATATTTACTAAGCTGAGAAGGCTCATGGAATCCGATTCTCCCAAAAGTGCACAAAATTAACTACATGACAATATAGCGATTATAAAATTGTCACATAGCTGTGATTTGTAAATTGTCTATTACACAGTAGTGTTGATTTATTATCCAATGAATGCTTGTTGTTGTATAATTTGAATTTGCATAATGTATGTGTGATGATGATGATCATTACAATACTATTGTAGTGGACCGGAAGAGTGTAGATGTAAAGAAAACGTGTGTATTATATTTCCTGCTAAATGAAGGTCCATCTACAATAGAATGTTGGACTTGGATTAAGTCCAACTGAAGATAAGGAAGACAAACAAACAAGACCGATATATATAAACAAATATATGTATTAACAAAACATTTACAAAACACAAAGGCAATTAACATTGTGTTTGTGTGTGTGTGTGTGAATGTTCATATGTGTGTTTGTAGTAAATGTTTGTAGTGAATGTTCGTACGTACGTGTATGTTGGAAATGTTCTTTAACGCCTGACCGTAAGGTCAAGACAAGAGTTCTTGAAGACTACATCTTGGCTGAGTAAGAAGAGAGCAGAAAAGAGAAGAAAAGAGACAGAGTCTTATTCATGTTCATTTATATAGGTGGTGTCTCACGTGACAGGCTCCCAGCTCTCTGCACAGGAAATATTTATTCCTCACGTGCAGGTGATCTGACTGGTCAGAATTGACCAATCAGAAAGCAAATTTTGAGGAGAATAATCAATGAATGCTTGTCGTATGATCTGTATGTATGTGTGTGCATGTGATGGTGATGATGATCACTATGTTATAAATGATAATCTCATAAACAATGTAAAAGTTGTAGTTTGTAATAGTAGTTCATATTATTGTAATTGATTTTTATATATAAAATACTTTGAACTTTTTTTTTTGCAGTAGCTGTCAGTAAATAAATGAAGTTTATGGTCTATTTTTGTTAGAGATGTTTTTCCTTAATATCTAGCAAATAGCATGTCAAATTTTTATGATTAGTCAAGTGTTGCATTCTGTGTCGTCTCTGGGCCCCCATTTTACTACATGAAATGGTATCAACAAAATGGAACATTTCTTTTTGTTATTTGTTGCATTAAGTGCGAGTAGTGGCAGCTTGGATTCTAAGATGTGGTAAAAAGAATGATGTCACAGGAATGCATGTTGGCTCAGCATCCCTCTCTAACCTAGGTGTGGGAGGCATATTGATGCTTCAGAATTCTTGAGACACTCTGTTGAATTCAGGCCATTTTGGACTTATATTCAAAATACAGGCAAAGGCAATCCATCACTGTTAAAATACCCTACTCACAAGGCACTCGAACCAATTGCTGACCATTCTGGTTCAGACCTTTACATTCTATAACACAAGTAGGTTTCTGAATACCTCTATCAAGTAACTACAAGTAGTTTTTGTTTTTAGTCATATTTGTGTGAATTACAAGCAATTATGGAAATTAACAGGAAACATATTTTAACTTTTGAAACTTATAAATTCATTTTTTAATATTGACCTTTTAATTTGATTTTTCAAAATAAATCCCCTTTGTTTTTAACTCGTCCTATTAAAACCAGAAAGAACACTCAAAATAACATATAACAAGAAAATTAAAAACAAAATGATGCATCTATGATATTTTAAGTGGGATGTTTGAAAACACCATGTTATGACTTCTGTGACAATGCCTCCAATACTAATGTAGGATTTAAGAGTATAAACAACCAAAGAAATAATCATCTGAATGGCAGACATTAGACATTATCATAGCCATTAGAATGACAGATATTATCACAGTCATTTGAATGAAAGACATTATCATAATCATCCAAATTGTAAATGAAGAAACAAACTTTAGGTATTAAAAGTTAAAACAACAAATTACAAAATAAAAAAGGCGGAAAAAATTTCAACAAAATAAAATCAGATTTTTCTTCTTTTTATTTTTGTTGTTTGAGAAATATATATATATATATGTTTTTTTTTTTCAGGGTGTTCTCTACAGTTCAAACTTCATCCAAATAATCCCAGCATATTTTACCAGGCCACTCCCAATGGTTGGACAAAACAACATTGTGCCGGTGGTACAGGCTTCAATATGACCACCTGTACTTGTAGTATGATCTTGCGACAGAATCCAAGTACGCTGATTTTATAAGTTGCATTTATGTTTATTTATAATATTTTTTTGTATTTTCCACCAAGAAATTTCTGTGGAGTGATTGATGAAGAAATATTATTATATTTTATTAAGTGAATTAGATTTTTGTCATATGACAGGGTTTTAATATTGGTGAATATACTTGTACTATTGTTTTTGGTCATCTATATATATCCCATGAAATGCTCATAAATTTAAGCAGATTTTTATTCCATATGAGCAAAGAAAGCAAAAAACATGGTGTGACATGTTTTTTCATTTTTGGTCATTCACACTTTAGCTTCCTCATCTTGCTGTTTCAAACATTTAAGATGGAGGTAAGCAAACAAATAACATCAGTTAGGCTAGCATTTTACTGCTTGAATACAGTATGATTTTAATCTGGTAAAATCATGTTTTTCTTCTTTTAAACCATTAATGTCCACCATAATCTGGTATTAATTATAAAAATCTGGTCTGGACAATTTCCTCACAATTGAAGAGGAGACTTGAATCAACAGAGATGTGGTTCTACAGAAGGAATACAATAGATAGAGCATGGAGGCAATGAGAAAGTTTTAAGGAAAATGGAAACAAAAAGAAAACTTTTACTTAGAATCAGAAATTTAAAATATATGGGATATATAATGAAGAAGCCAGGCTTTGAGAGTTTGACACTCACAGGACATGTTGAAAGCAAGAAAAGCTCAGGGAAACAGTGAGTAACCTATCTACTTCACAAGCTTGCATAAGTGGATGACAGAACAGTAATGGGATAAACATTGCTTAGATTTGCAAAGGGTAGGAAGTTGTGGAGAGCCATAACTGCCAATATCCTAAAGGGATATAGTACGTAAAAGAAGAAAAATTATAGTTTTATAAGAATTCAGTATTAATTATGGGTTTCTAACTATAACTCCTTAATGTCTACTGTCCTATTTCGATATGCTCTTGATTTTCAATACTGGTGTGCTTTGAGATGTTCATAGGAGTACCAGGAAAATTTATAAAGGTCATTAATTAAATTATTTTTGGAAGAGGTTCAAAGCAAAATATGTGTACATATCAAAATTAAACTCATTATATGAGAATTCTTGCAAAAAAGTGTCATGTCCATAAAGAAATGCATAAATCAAAATTAATTATACTATCACTGTTTTGCTCCCATAATAATTAAATGAATAAAAATTAATTATAGTGTCAAAAATAATTATAATAAAGTAATTATAACAATTATAATTATCATCAATTTACTCATTCTAAATCAATGAGAATCGACACCACTTTTCTTCTCTACACACACAAGCACATGACATTCTCACTATCAGACAGGCAGTCAACACAGACAGGCCATCAACACATGTATCAACGTAAATTTCATCTCTTTTTCTTTTTTCAGGCAAGCTCAGATGTCTCATAAAATGTTAAATTATAATAAACAAAAAATAAATAAATATAAGTTTCTTTTAAGAATTTTAATTGCTGTCTTTTTATTAAAAATGATAATAAATTATTTTGTTTGTGTTAATGAATAGGTCATAAAAAGAATGCTCTTTTTTATCATCATTAATTACTAGTGCCACAGAAATTTTACTATAGGTTCAAATGTGCTGTAAGATAAAAAAAATTTGAAAAAATTGCTTTAATATATTATAAAGACATTTCATAAATTAAAACCTAATAATTATTTTGTATTTGTCTTTTTTTTTACAGTAAGAGTCTGTAAACTAGTGGATCTACCATTGACTCAAAACATTGTAGAACAATCACATGGCTGGTATATAAATTATGAGAATGTCTCTATAATAAACAATTCTGCAAAATTCCAACTAAACAGCTACCTGATTGTTCCTGTAGTGACTAATAATGATTTCAAAGACCACATTTCCATCAGCCTCAGTTTTCAGTTAGATGATGTTTCTGAAAGTTCAGTTGCAGTTCTTGGTAACAGTGAGTGTAAAATTCCACCAACCTTTACAATTTTTGTTAAAGAGGCAAATACCAATTCTCCATTACTGGTTGGAAAATTCATCCTTGAGTACCAGGGAAGGGATATCCCTGTGGAAATTACAACACGTATAGTAAGTTGCCATTATTTATTAATTTTTTTGCTCCTTTTTCAAAACAGAAAAGCATGATAAGGTAGAATTTAATTAAAATCAGTCCTTTATAACATATCAATAAAGGCAAAATTTGTAGACACTACACAGTGTTCAATGTAAGGTATATAAAAATATATACAAAACCAGAGCAAGCATAAGATCTGTATTGAAAAACAGTATTTAAATTTTACTGCTGGCTATGACTAAAAGTTTAATGTGGACATAAATGGAGTTAATCCTACTACTGCACAATCCTCAGACAATAAAAAAAAAACAATACTTATTCTGTGAATAAGTGTTATATTGCTTTTTTTAACCACATACATATGTATGCAGGACATGTTCGCATGTGTTTTTAAAAATCACTATCACAATGGAATGCAGATTTTATTACAGTTAAAATAAGTTTATCTTTGTAATTTACCCCTTAAGATGATCTTAGAAAATTCAAGACTACTTGGCTAGAAAAAACTACAGCACCTTCCTTAACATCAAGAAACTGATTAGAAAGGATCAGTATAAAAATAAGTAGACACAATATGTCTATATTATTCAATGAAACATGTTTGAATGAAGATATGCTGCCTATATATATATATATATATATATTAGAAAAGGAAGAGCAGCTCTAAAAAGAGTCTGCCCAAAAGCTGCTTATTGGCAAAAAAGTGCTCAATGACATAAGAAATTGCAGAGCTTCTACTGGGTGCATGATGATTGCATGCAAAAGCTAGCAGTTGTGGTCAGTCACTGCCTACCTGGATTTTGATTATATATATATATATATATATATATATATATACAAATATGTGTGTATTTACACATATATCACTTCATGATACATGTTATATGCCAATTAATAAGTCATTTTTCAGTTTATCCTGTCTAAGAATCAATGTTTTTCTTGTGTTGTAATTATTTTCAGAAGCTTTATTCAAAGCTGATAATGAAAATGAATCCCTTAATTCAGTGTGTAAAATATTGATTTTTATCCTTTTTCATTTTATAGCTTAAGAAAACCTGGGTAACTGTCAAGCTGATGAAAAAAGGTGACATCATAGAAATGTGGTCCAATAGCAATATGGTTAAACAAAAAATTGTTCCAGGTCAGTATTTCTCAAAAAGGTTTGCAAGATTTCCACTTTGTGTTTTTCCTAATTATCTTGTAATTTTATTTGGTTGTTTGTTTTATCAGATCAAAATCCTTTGTTTTAATATTTGGAGAGAATTAAATATTTTTAAAACTGGTACAATTGAGATTTAGGCTGTGATATAAAAATTTTAATTATCACAGTAGAATTCTTATGAATTCAATTTGTTTTATGTTTGTAATTTCTTGATTTCAGATGAAAACTTGGAAAATTTCCAACAAATTTCAGAGAAATATTCACTTTTCAATATGATATTTTTTAAATTATAGTTTAGATATATGGAAAAAAGAAGGCTATGACTTAACTGTTATGTGTAGCTTTTCACCATCTAATATTTCAGAGGTTACATTTAAGTTATTTGCTATTTAAAAAGGATAAGAAAGAAGACTGACTTTCTTACATCTTTTTCTTTGTTTCAATATCATTTTTTTCAGGCTTCATCAAGAGACAAAACTGTGCCTTGACACTTGGGCAATCTTTTGGAAAAGGAAACTTTGTTGGATTTATTAAAAATGTAAGTATAAGTAAAAATCCATGAAGATGAAATACAAAAATATGCATATTAGTAAAAATAATTCAATAAAATTGGGGGAGGGGGGGGGCTATCCTTAATGAATATTAATTTTTATGAGTATTTTCTTTCACCTTAATTTTAGTTACTTATTTTATTACAATGACTCAAACAGACAGTCAGTCAATGGCCATGAGTAAACAGTATGGGTCTGAAAAGAAAGATTAGCCAAAAATGAATAATGGTTGGTAATGCTTCATTAAAAAAAAAAAAGAAAGATACTATTAATCTTGAAATTTTTCCAGATTTTTAAACATGTATCTGTCTATTTTCTTTTTTCTTCTTTTTATCATATCCATTGAAAGATATAATTTTCTTATGCTATTTTATATTAATTTACACTAAAGTTAGGTTTCACAATTTTTTTAACAAAAGATCAGGTCTGTAACTGCTAAACTAGAAAGATTTTATCATTGTACCAGCTTATTAAATGCACGCACACACATATATATGCAAATGCATATGTATGAATTTGAACAATTAATCATTTTATCACTTTAAATGTTATTTTAGTAGACAGATACCCATATTTGAGTACATGCTCCATTTATTTATTAAGCAGTATATTTATATATTTTCATTTACCAGCCTGAATATTTGAGAAAATCTTATCAAAGAAAAATATGTGCTCTCCAGTAAGATTCAAAGCTGCAGGAGAAACCATCATTAGATCCAATGTGTTTTGGATCAACTTTGCCATGGAGGGTCTTATTGCGAATCAAGCAGGGCCAAATAGTTTTTTAAAAGCACAACTCAAATATTCAGGCTGGTAGATGAAAATAAATATATATACTGTTTAATTAATAAATGGAGCAACTATTCAAATATAGGTATCCACTAAATATAATGTTAAAGTGATAAAATCTGTTTGATTAATAAATGAAAAATCCATTACTTCCTTAGAAATTACAGTCAGCCATGTAAAATGAAATTGTCTCAAAAATAGATAAATGCTTTGAATTTTTATTTATATTGTAATGTTAGTAATGTCTGATAAGAATACAAGACTAAATTTACCATATGTAAGAAAATTGTTTATTCCTTTTTGGACTCTGTTGAATTAATGTTGATTGAAATGTGGGTCTCAGGTTTCAGGTTTTTCTCCTAATATTTGGTCTTCTTGTGAACCTCTAAGTGATTCTCCATTTTTCCCTCATCAGTTGGGCATTTATATAACTTTCTATTATCCAGTTGTTTTGTGTCTCTGTAATATAAGTTCAGCTATGTTTACTTCCTTATTTGTATGAATACGCTTACCAATATACTTTGAGGCTTGATTCTGTGAACACAATGCCAGATTAACCTAGTAACAAAAGCAACTTTGAGGTCAACTTTTAGGGCACCCCTTGAGACTCCTAGCAATTTTGACTTTATGAGGTGATACTGAATACAAAACTTACTTAGGATGAACCCATTGGGTCACCACAGATTAACTGTTCTTGATCAAGGTTCCTGAAGGATATTATATTCAATTCAGACCTCTGGTATTTCCTGGCATGAATCACATACATAATGTCAAACAGTCTAAACTCAAAGTAAACCTGAAAGATCATGTTGAGATTACAATTATTCAAACTGATAGCTGTTCTGGTTCAGACATTGATGACAATGTAGTTTATAGATTTTCATTAAACAGTTTATTTGGGCAGGGCTAGATTAAACAAGAGCAGGGCTTATAGCTAATGTTATAAAGGGCCCTAAAGTAAACAATACATATAAATGTTACATCATAAATTACAGTGATAGAGCTTATAAAACAGGTAAATATTTAACTTGTATCAACATGATAAACAGACCCAGAAAAATGAGGCAAACGATTCTATCTTCTAATGAGATATTTGAGTAGATTTAACATCCTCAACATAATCTTAGCTGAAATGCTGAATAATTAAAAATGCAGCCATATTATAAGATTGCAAGATTGCTAAATTGCAAAATTGTATGATTGCTAGATTTTATGATTGTCACTGTAAGATTGCCACATTGTAATATTAACAGATTGTCAGATTATAAGATTGCTACATTGTTAGATTGTCAGACTATAAGATTGCCAGATTGTAATATTACCAGATTGTAAGATTAGCAGCTTCAAAGTATTTAATGTGGCTCCCTTGAAATGCTTGGCCTGTAGTATTTGCTACTAGCATATTCTAGTTCAATGACTGCTTTTATCTTATTCATTGTTGTTGATTTTGTGTGATAAACTATCTTTTACATGTATCTCTATGAGAAAAAATCCATTAGTATAAATATTGAACTACCCTACTAAATTTATCTCTACCATCTCCATTGGTGGATATATTTGAAGCTTTGCATTTTAACTACGTCTTGCACTTTTGGTCACACTAGAGCAGTGGTTCCCAAATTTTTTTCTCTGTGTCACATTTTCAGAAGTAAAATTTGCTCCCACTTCACCAAATTTTATGTGATAAAATACATTTAAAAATAAATAATAGAGAGGATTAAAGGGAGATAACCATAGATTTGAAGTCAGAACATTATCATTGATAAATCTCTACTCCAATTTGCAGACCCTAGTTGCTATATTCTTAATACTTGATATAATGAAAAGATATCACAATGATAAAATCAGTCAATAATTATTTATAACTATTTATGCTGGGATTCATGTATGCAATTACAAGTAATCTATAATAATATTTTAAATTTTGAACTCATTTATTTTTGGCATATGAATTCTTTTAAACTGTTTCTAAATCTTTGATTGTCTTTCAATCATTCCACCTCACCTGCTATTCTCTTCTGCCACACTTATGAGGTGCGCCTCACTGTTTGGAAACCATTGCACTAGAGGATGAATTTCTTTTTTTCAGAGATTGGTCTCATTTCATAATGATTCATAATCATTTCGTAATGATTCATAATCATTATATAAGTATTCATAAACATTTGAACCTGAAAAAGAAAAATATTTAGTAAGTTGTCAGAGTTTAAATTCATGTATACATATTTTAAATAGCTCATATATTGCAATCTTTAATAAAATTGTATTCTTAGTAAATAAAATGAACAGATATTCAGAAATAGAAATATTTCTTTCTTTTTTTTTACAGGTGGTAATCAATAAATGTCCATAAGAAAAGGTTTTTGCTGAACCATCTGCATCGTCATTTTTATTCATATTTGATCAGGCAGTGATTGACTTTTATTTCTGTCACCACTAATACAACAGAACTTCTTTTTTTTCAAACAAACATTGCATTCAATTTTTGTATTTTTCTATTAAAAATATATATTTTTACTTGATTCCTATCTTAGTAAATGAATAAAAATAATTCCATTTAAACTGATTTGTATTGTTTTCACTTTCTGTGTTTTGTCAAAATGATAATTGAATGTAGGCCAATAACTACTTGGGTATGGCATGTTGTGAGCGCTATATGAGCCTTCAAACAGATATTAAAAGACAATAACAAACAAAAGGAAGACTTGAGTAAAAAATATATAGCCAAGTTTATTTTCGTTAAAGGAAAACATTGACTAAAATAAGGTTACAGTGCACTAGACAAAAAATATCTAGAGTTAAAAGAGTGTTGACCTGAGAAGGGTAATTTGTAGTTACTAAAGAGCATTGTCCTGAAAAGGACAGTTTATTGTATATTGTTGCTGCTGGTAAGGATAGTTCAAGCAGCAGGAACTGTTGCTGATGTCTGTAGCCATGATCCAGCTGTTAGCTGCTGGAACAGATACTACACATGGCACATGCCAGGTAGGGTTTTATAATCTCCCAGTTGCATCTATCCTCAGGCAGAGTGTGGCTCAGTTGTGACTCTGTCTGTGGACAGAGACACAGCTGAGGAAAATAAATACTGTGAGGTGCCTGGTCCCAGGGAACAGCACTCCCCACTCATTGCACTAAAGTGTGGGGATCAATAGACATACCAATGCCAACAGAACCATCAGTTGTGGAGCTGTACAATTTTTCTCCTTGGCCCAGGTGTATGTGCTTGGGTTCCCCATGTTAAACCCAACCTTATGTCACATCCCATCTCAGTGAGTAGACCAGGGTAAATAACTACTACAATTTGACCCAGTATTTACCAAATCACCCCTTACTGGGTTTCAGATGTGACACAAGGTCAGTTTTTTAATGTGGGGAACCTGAGCACATACTCTTGGATCATTGGTCAAAATTTACCCAGACCCTGCTTATGCGGGATCAAGCACAAACCTTGTCTTAGCTGGTCATATCCAGTCAAGGCCGCGGAACAAATATTACAATATACTCATAGCTTCTGAACCAGACTGAATGACTACACTTTGATCCAGTATTTACTAAATCACCCATCACTGGGTTTTGGATGTGACACAAGGCCAGTTTTTTAATGTGGGAAACACAAGCGCCTACATTCAGACCATTGGTAAAAATTCAACCAGCCCCAGTTTATGCAGGACTGGGCACAAAGCTTGTCTTAGCTGGTTGGTTAGTTGGTTAAAACTGCAGAACAGATACAACAATATGCTCACAGCTTCTGAACTGTTTTTTTCAGAAATAAATAAACTTAACTACACTACAATCCTAGTCAAAGTTGCCTTGAGGCCATTTTATATCCTAAATCAGTCTTATAACAATGCAGATTAAGTTTTTTCTTCTAGTTGTTTTTAAAAATGTGGGAGTGCAAACAGGATACAACAGGCTAACAAAAATACCAAAAGAAAGAACTTTGTCCCTTAGTAGTTGACATGATATCATGTTCTAAATTTCCTTGTCCTAAGCCTCTTCACTGTTCTCATTTGTAGATGGTAATGAAGGCAGTTGGATGTGCTGGTTTAATGATTAGGAAGAGAATTCTGTGAGGTGAATTTGTTACATCCACTTTTGTACAAATAACTTTTGGAAAGGTATGAATCCATGTCTTCTCTTCCAGTTATGGGTTAAATAACAGAACTGACTGGCCTCTCTTGCCTTGGGGCAGCAACTGAAACTCTGCTTACATCATGGATAATTGCATACTACTGATATTGTCCTTTTACTCAATTCATATTAGTATGTAGCTATCAATGATGTAAGCATAGTTTCAAACTTGAAACTTGGAAATTAAAACAACATCCAGATAATGCTTTAAGAAATCAGTATTTGATCTGACACTGGATACTATGAATGAAATCCAACTTCTAAAATGTGGAAGAACAATATTTTTTATTCTGACTAATGTTGTTGATAGGGGATTATTTAATGAATACAAATCTACAGAAATTGGCCCAACTCCAATCTTCCCTGTCTCTTATGAGTTGACCAGTTTAACTCCAGTAGTGCCTTTGAAAGTTATTTTTTTCTAAATTGGGAGTGAGTTCCAAATAAATCGTGTAAATCAAAAAGCAAAAAAGTAATTTGAAATTAACGTTGACCTTTGGGTACCTCAGCATAGGAATACAAACTTGTCTGATTGACTATTACTACTGTTCTTCACTGGGTATCCTGTAATTGTGACTTGTGAAAAAATTAAACTAAGCTTAGTAGATATTTAAGGCACCTTGATGAACAAGGACAGATTATGACTTTTTGGGGCCCTTAGGCTAATGAAATTATGTGCCACCCTCCTCAGACTAATTCACCCACACCTGTCTTGAATATTTTTTACTCATTATATTTTAGTGACATTTACTGTCTTTTGTTTGTCAATAAAAATATTCTTTAAGAAATACCACTATTTTACTATTTGTTGCCAACCAAATTAGCACAAATTTTTACACGACTTTAATAAAAAAATAGATTTTATATAACCAGTATTATAACAATAAAAAAATCAAAATAAATATGTTTGTCATATCGATATCATTTCATTTTCTGAAACTATTTAGAATTTTTAACATCTAGAAAATTAAAATCACTGCTTTATAAAATTTCTAAGATTTAAACATTCTGAACTTAAAATGTCTGAGGAGCCCTAAGCTGCAGCCTGTATTAGCCTATAGGATAATCCAACCCTGTTGATGTGGAGTAATGGTTAGCAATCTAGTCAGGTTGACCATTACTACTGAATAGTGAGTTCATCCTCAGTGAGTACCATATACTTGTGGTCTTTTACTAAACTAAGTTAAGCTTAAATATTCAGGGCATCTTGATGTGAAGTAATGGATATCGATCTAGTTTGGTTAGTCATTACTACTGAATAGAATTTGATACTCACTGGGTGACTCATACTTGTAGCTTCATGCTAAACTAAGCTAAGGTTAGTAAATTTTATTGCAATAAATCTGTTGCCTTCCAGATGGATTCATGGAAGGTGTGTCCTTTCATGAGCTCCTTTATTTGAAGGACAAACCATGCTACATACTAGTCTTCTGTCTGATACAGAATTGCAAGTGGAGAAGAACTAATCAGAGGTTCCAGAGAAGGTCATGTATGCAGTTAATCTGTGGTCTCAAAGAAATATTTTCTTGAAGGGCAGGTTTTTAGGTGTGTGCTTCATACATCTACTTCATTCCTCATCAACTCTCAGTACTACTCCATTTGTGTACCAAACTAATTAAACTAGCGAAAGCTCTGATTAAACTCCTTGGAATAACAATATTTTCATTGTGCTCTGCAATGTCTATTGCCTTTATCATTTGAAGGTCAGTCTGGGAATGCCTAATATCAATACCTGTTAGCATATCTTATGGTTATAATTCCTAGGCAGTATGTGTGTGCAAAATACTGAAGGCAGATTCTGGAAAGAGTATACCAAAAAAAAATTTTTGGTTTTGAGATGTGTGCATTCAGATGAGACAGAGGTCTGCCATTTCCCCCAAAACAAGTGTTCTTGCTATCATAAATGTTGACATGCTCTGGGAGTCCTCTATTATGTGAAGGTAGGACTGTGAAATCCAGCCATTGTCAGGAAAGGAATTATATTTAGTTGGGGGTGAATAAGGTGATCTGATTAAGGGGTTGGGCCTGACAAGTAAAAAAGTATTATTTTGTGGACACTTGGGTTTAAATGCCTCAATAATGATGACACATCCAATCAAGGTATTGATTCAAGGCATACTCTGGTTTGCTAAAAAGTCTTTCACAGTGGGACTGGTTTATTTACCAGAATCTGTCTGATATGATGATATGAAGGAGGCTCTTGGACATGTGTTCTTTCACTGTGTAAACATGTCCAATCTTTCAGTCTTGTTGAAGACTACCTGATTTGAATGCTTCAGGAATTGATTTTCTTTCATGTTGAAAGACAGTTCTGGTTCTAGCAATGTTATCTGATATGATAAGAACATGCATTATGTATTTCTGGTTTTACTAGGTGTGATGAATCAAGGAAGTCCATAGAAGTGTGATTTCCTCCTTATTTTTTGGTTGAGCGAGAGAGGAAGAGAAAGAGTGAGGGAGAGTGTGTCTTTGGAGCAAAAGAAAATAAAGTTCTCTGATGATATGAGAGAGTTTAATTTTAAAAAAATGTTTTGTACATTTTCCCACATCTTTTTCAGTCTGTTAACTTATTTGTTTTGCTATATTAGATTGTTGGGGGTGGTGAGGAGTGTGAAATACATTTTTGTAAATATATTTTGTTTCATTTAAATTATTATGGTAACATTCTTTAATTGTTATATCAAAATTACTTTTATTCCTAATCCCACATAAAATTGAAGATATGTGTTTAGTTTGAATTTTCAGAAACAAAATGTGATTTTTTGGTAATTGTTGCATAAAAGATTTAGAATAAATGCATTGTTATGGTAAAAGAAACAATAAAGACTGGTTGGATCACTAAATGCAAATTAGTTGTTAATGACAGGATAGTAAAGATCAACACCTTTTTCTCCTCCCAATTTTTCAGCCATTTTATTTTCATACTGTACAGAATTCTCTTTTCCTACCTGTTAGATAAAGGAAAGTATACTTTTCCCAGAATGTGGGGATATGTTGACATTTGTTGTTTAATTTTTTTTCCCTTTATTTCTCAATAACTATTAATTTTTTTGGCCTGCCATCAGCATGGCTTATACTAAACTCCAGAAGAGCAACACTTTGTGCCTTCTTTGAATTATGTTTTCCACTGACATGAAGTGGAGTGATTATATTGAACCAATTCCATGGTCTACTGCTACAAATGTTGAATCAGTGTGTCTTGCCAGATGTTTCTTCTTGCCAGAAACCATTTTGCGCATTTATAAATTTACCATTCACAAGTGCATTGAATACTGTTTCCATATCTGGTCTGGTGCTCCTACTAAATATCTTGAGATTCTTCACAAAATTCAAAGAACACTCTGTAATGTAATAGATCCTGACCTGATATCTCAACTTCAGTCACTTTCCCACTGCTGTGATGTGGCTGTCCTCTGTCTTTTCTATAAATATTTTCATGGCAATTGTTCTGATAAGTTATTTTCCTTATTGCCACAATTGAATGAAATTAAGCATGCTACTGGATTGCCAACTAGGTCTCACTATTTTACAGTTGAACTAACTAGATGCATGTATCAGTTTTATCCTAATAATTTCTTTTCTTGCACTTTTCACCTGTAGAACACCTGATTTCTTGCTTCCCTGCCACCTACACTCTACAAAAGTTGAAATGCAACATCAATTGCCATCTTCTGTCTTCCTGAATCCAGTTTCTTTATTGTCCTTTTTCTCACTTCTATCCACTAAATACTTCTCATTCATTTTCACTCTCTTTAACAGCACTCCTTCTGCATCCTGGGGGTGAAATGATTAAAAAAAAATTCAATAAAATAACTCACTTAACTTATATAAGAACTAGCTTAAAAGCTGCCCTATCAGACAGCATTTAAGCTAGCTCCTGCAGAGGGCTCTTAATTAGGTCTTCATCACAATAGGCAAGGAGGAGTAGATGTGATAGGCAGCAATAAACTACAGAAGAACTCAAAATTGATCACTGCATTTAAGTATTGTATTAATATTTAAGCTGACTTTTTAAAGGTTCAATAATAATTCTTCTGCTGCCACTTAATTTAAAGACAATTTTATGTATATAGGTCCTTACTTTCTGTACAAACAATTATTTTTATTCTGTGGGTGACTTTTCCTGGATTTTGCAATTAATTTTGATTATTCTCAAATTTATTTACAAGTTATAAAAATTGTTTTCATACAAAAAAATTTGTCACAAAAAATCATGTAAAAATTTGCTCAAAACAATTGCAGTAATGAAAATGTGGGAATCCAAAATTTTAGGATTGCAGGTCTGGATCCAGCCTGGAATGTTTTTAATTTGCTCACGAAGTTGGCCTTACTTTAAACTGGTATATGTTGGGCTATGGCCTCTAGGAGTTAAAGTTGAAAAATTGTGACACACTGACATTTGCATTTATTATATAGATTTGAACTCCAAGCTCCATGAATGCTGTTATGTTCAATCTTCAGTGGATTTCTTAGTGAATTGAATATAAAGGTATCCATGAAAATCAGTGTTTGTATTCAGATATAAGTTACATGAAGTGTTTTATTCTATTAATAAGTATTATTGTTCTATCTCTTCATATTGAATTCTATATTTGTAAAGATTACTGGCCTTGTATGCATTGTCTCTATGATTGCTTCAATCACATTTTTGGTGAAATAAAAGTCTTCCTTCTTGTTATATGTACTCGTTCACCAGTTGAACACTTTGGAAGGAAGGGAATTTGATAACTGCTACTGCTGCTATAATGCTAAGCTTTTTGTAATGAATAGAGTACTCTGGCAGCTGATAATGCTTATATCATGTATATAATGCATTAAAAATTCCCTTTCTGCATATAGCCTAGAAATAAAAGCCTCGAACTGATGTCAAATCGGTCTAGTTTCAACTCCAGCTTGAAGTAATTGCATGTCTAGCTACACTGAAAAGTTGTGATACAGTGAAACAGTCTGTCAGTGTATGACTATATTTATGCATGTGTGTGTGTGTGTGCTATATTTATGGGTTAAAGTGATCAATATCAGGGCTAGAGCATATGTAAATATAAAAGTGGAAGTCAAAACCCATAGGCAACAGGCTGTTTCATGCTAAACACAATTGTCAGGCCTGATGATTATATTTAGCATGAAACAGACTGTCTCCTTTGAGTGTTGACTTCATTGTCCACTTTATATATATATATATATATATATATATATATATATATATATATATATATATATAAACTGATGACTTAACAAAAATCTTAACAGTAGTAGTAATATTAGCTGATTCCATATGTGTATGTGGAAACATTCGGCATTCATTTACTGAGCAGCTGGTGTTACTTGCAGTTGAAATATATGGAATCTTTCTATTAAAACAATTTTTCAGGGAAAGAGGTTACTCAAGTCCAGTAACTTTTATTATTCTTTCCAGTATTGATGGAGGCTTCCTTCCTAAACTTTTGTTTGAAGTAACATGGAACATTGACATGCATGACATCTATATGAAAGTCTCATTCTGATGAGACCATTTAAGAACATAACTCAAGATTTTAAGTTAATGTTTTGATGTTGGTGCAGTTTGCAATGTTGACCAAAATTACCCTTAACACAGCTTATTCTATGTTCAATGTCCTTTACTAAATTTGTTATACTTGATCCATACACCAAGGTATTTGCAGTGTTTAGTATTTACTAATTTCAATTCTTGAATTTTCATGATGGGTTTAGGGTCAGTGCTATCACTGCTTTCATTCCCATTCCAGACCATAGTTTCTGTTTTGGAAAGGTTTATCTTGAGTCCTACTTTTTAGAACACTTGGTAGAGGATGTTGATTTATTTATTCAAGATCATTTTTATCCCAACTATGAATACCTATGTGCTTAGCATATCCTCTCTCCAACCATCATCTGTACACTGGCCTCTGGTAGGAATGCAGGAATTCTGTAAATTTATTTGAGATATGGCATGGAAGGATTAAATGATCAGTGCCCATCTCTTCATATCTGTGCTTGTATAGCACTGAGCATAGTCTAAGAAGAGATTAAATAGGTTGCAGCTCTCATTTCCTCATTTTCATACTTCTGATGAGGTTTGAAATGTTTCCTTATTGGCGTTTTCAGCAGATATGTACAATTTTGTGGAACAATATAGTTCCTCTGTCCAATCTAGAGATTCAGTGGAGTCAGAGCTTGAAAAACAGTTTCTAATGGATGAAAAGAAGTCTCTATTGATGTAAGCTCAACATAACAGTTATTCAATTTTCTATTAGAGAGATATGTGACTTCCTGGAGTTTTTTTTGATGACATATATGCCATCATTACACCCTTTACCAGAATGAAAGTCAATGTCTAGCATGTGGTGAAAGTGTTTAAATATGTGAAAATATTTTTACAAATATGAACTGGAAATCATAAAAATTATTAGAAACATTGATAAAAATAAATAAAAAAATAATCCACAAAAAGAATTTTCATTGATTTTTTTTAATTTGTTTCCCTAATACAGTAAATATATATATATATATGTGTGTGTGTGTGTATATATATATATATATATATATATATATATATATAAAAAAAAGTTTCAAATTAAAATATATATATATATATATATATATATATATATATATATATATATATATATTAAGTTTCAAATTAAAATATATATATATATGTATGTATATATATATATATATATAAAGTTTCAAATTAAAATATATATATATGTATGTATATATATATATATAAAAGTTTCAAATTAAAATATATATATATGTATATATATATATATATATATATATATATATATATATATATATATATATATATATATATATATGTAAAATATATATATATGTATGTATGCATGTATGTACTTTTATATATATTATATATATGAATGGATTCTCCCATTGACAGATAAGAGTTCATATCAACCAACACAAGTGAATTGTCTGTGCCCTGCAATTCCCCCTCTCCCTATCATAGCACCATGTCCTGTACTGGTGCCCTATGTGCTACATGTTTTTCTATCTCCTAGCTGCATGTTGGCCATTAAGAAGTTCATCCACCCTTTAACAACTCTCTCCAGGCTGGTTTGAAATCAGCATTTTTCTTCTAGACTGATTACCAAGTAAGGCTTGTCTGTCCTGCTATTTATCCATAGCTGGGAAGAGAAGAAATGGAATCATACCTATATAAAAGTAAGGTTTTTTTTTATGCATCCCACACAGGTAAAAATATAAGAAAAAGAAGTTGAAAATGCAACTGGAGTCTTTAAGAATAATTACATTCATTTTACCAGTTTCACAGTTCTATGATTTTCAAACGTTAAATTGAGATGGAGTGATGTGTGGCTATGCATTTAGATGTGAGATATATCATGACATAGCCACACATATCTCCATCTCAATTTAACTTTTGAAAATCACAAAACTGTGAAATTGGTAAATAAATATTCTTATAGACGCTAGTTATATTTTTTCTTATATTTTTTGTACATTTTTACTTACAAATAAATGTATTAATAAAAATGTTTGCAAGACAGATCTACTAGCACATAAATTTACTATTCTGTCATATTATAATTGTAAATATATTTGTTTCATTGAAATCACTAGAATAAATTTTATTGTGAATCATGACTCATATAAGTTTAACTCCCATCTCAAAAAAATGTTTTACATCAATTTACATTATTTTCATAGAGAAAATGTTATATTTGTGATAATTTTGGTGGTTATAAACGAAATTTTAGAATAATGGCGAAAACCAAAACCAAAAATGAAAAATAATGGTTCGATCAGTAAATACGACTAATAAGTTAATGATAAGAAGATAGTACATATTCCCACCTCCATTTTTATTTAGTTAACCAATTATCTGGAAATCGCAGACACGTTTTTTTTTTTTTGTCTAAAATCTCGTTTTCGCGAGATCTCAAAATAACGAAACAAAATAAGATGTTTTAGTTAGTGTATGATTTTTTTTCGTAGGTATTTTATTTTTTAAGCACTACTTTCGATTATGTTACTATATGGAATTTACCATATCTCTGTATACTTGCTAAGGACGATTTAGTCGAAACTTGTCGCTTCGTTAATGTTTCTTAGCTAGAAAAAAAAAAATAAGGTAAGTTTTTTTTTTTGTTTTACTCAAAGAAAGCGCAAGGCTGATTGATTTTTTTCCTCCTAATGCTTTTAAAAAATAATTGTTATATCATATATTTACAATTAAACTTAAAGAATTCGGAGGAAAAAAAAAAACGGTTTTTGGTGATTCGTGTTTAAACTTTAAAATAACATTTTTTCACTTGTTCAACTGCCGAACCGGTGATTTAAAAGCAGCACGTGGTTTAAAACGTTAGACCTTTTTTAATGATCAATTCGATTTTTGTCTTATGGTGCAGAAGAAAATATTTCCAGTCGATAGTCAAGAATATATCAACAATTAAAATTTACAATCGTCTCAATAATATTAATAATGGTATAAAGTAAATTAAAAGATAATTTCAGTTTACTGTTTAGAATCACTGAAGGAAATTGATATTCGACAACATGAATTATTCAAATTTTCGTGCTTACCTTAATAAATTATGACATTGTTAAAGAAATAGTTTTGACTTGATATTTACTTAAAATTATCAGATTGAATGTATGGTTTAAGCTTGCTTAACAGATACAATTAGCATTGAATTAATTACATAAATCCTAAAAAGAACATGCCATTATTGTCCATTCAATTTTTTGCGTATGACTGAGCCAAGTGTTTCGATTTCTTTTCTTAAAAAACAAAAAAAAATCTAAACACTTCTTGACTGAGTCATAGGAGAAAATACTGCTTTATTTATTATAATTAATTCATAAAAAACAATGTAATTATTGAATATTCGATTTTTCAAGGTGTACCATACGTATACCATGCTGAAGTATGTAAAAATCAATTTTAAATTTTTAAAGCAAGCGGTATTTTCAGTTTTGTGAGGAAACGCGAATTTTTCCTAACGTGGTTATTGTACTTTTTTGAATCGCAGCTATTTTAGTATTATAACAATAACATGATAGATCCTAACCTTAGATAGCAACCGGCCTACTGGAAGGAAAACTCTGACTTCCAAGCCGTGGTAAAAGCAACAGAAAAAAAAGAACATTTTGTGGCATTTCACAGATAATTAAATATTGAAAACAATGGAGTGGAGAGTCATGATCGCTTACGTCTTGAATGGGTAGAATATTTGAAAATTTATCTGCACGTTTATATTCGAATGAAATATGACTCAGGCAAGTCCAAGCTTAAAGATCTGTGCATACATGATTAGTGTCGAAAATTGCTTAATAATTCTATCTGCCTTTTGTCTCGGAACACTTAAGTAGATTTAAACGCCAAACGGAATATGGCACAACGCATAGATAAAAAATAAGAAATTTTCCGTGTAAGTTCTAACATCTCGCTCAGGGACACTAATTTCCCCCTTTTATAGCAAAATAGAAGGGCCATTGTACTCTTTCTGACAAAAACTACTTTTTTTTTCTTTTCTAAGTGTCCATAAAAATTCAAAAATTTTAATCAAACTTCCTTCAATAATTTTACAATTTTCTTTTTACATCTAAATTAATTAATTTATTAAATTGGGCTAAAAATATAGATTGTCTGATTTTTTTTCTCTTCTTTTCTGAGCAACAAACTGGAGAAGGAATATTTTTTTTTTTGCCATCGACTATCGGAAAAATAATTAAATTTATACAGCACCACGTGTTTTTTTTTTTTTTTTTTTTTTGGTCCCTCTCTTTCCAAGGGGGATAACTAAACATTTATTTCTCTCCACTTCCGCCTTTCCTAGTATCAATAGTTATCGTTCTGTTTTATTTTATATTTTGTTTTTGATAAAATGGGGGAAAACACTCCCAAAAAACTGGGAGAATTTAATTCACTTGATAACTGTGTTTTATAAACAAACTTTTGCGAACCATTTTATAAATTTTTAAACATTTTCTATATTCTTTCACTTCTTTAGACGCTTTAATTAATGTGTAGTACACGGTACACCATTGGCAATCATGAAATATTTTTGTGTTTATACTCTTTTCTTTACTAGTCTCTCTTTATTATAATGTCTCATTGCTTCTTTTTGCCATGGTTCTTTTAAATAACATACCGTAAATAAAAATATCGGCATTTTAATATCGGAAAAGGTATATATTGTTTCTGCACAATTAAAAAAGAAAGAAAATAATAAATACAGAGGAATGTAATTATACACTTACACGGGTATCTTAAATTGGCTACCTCGTGTTAAAAAATAATATTCTTACATTGGTCACGAATCGTCAAGTTTATATTTATAAGAATGATTGTCTCGCGAAGGATACTTCTTTCTTTTTATTAAAAATTTTAAACTCGGATAATTTTCAGCATTAAAAATAATGTCAGGGCAAGAAGCATAATTTGTTGTAGCTCACTAAAGTTTATGTTCAATTTCTTACCAAAGCGTTTTTTTTTTTATCGACAACTGAAGTAAACCAAATTCTAAGTTCCGACGAAAAACTGTATTGTAGAGAATTTCTTTTCGAGTCTTATTAGATTAAAAAAAATAGATGTTGTTTCTTATATGCCCAATATTAAAATTTATGTTGCTTTGAGGAGATTGGAATTAAAAAAAAAAAAAAAAGTGATAGTTTATAAATAATAGCGTTCAGTTTAAAAATAGCCGCATTTGATTTTAAAACTAATTCAATAGAATAAAATAAAATTTTCCCCCAAAAAGAAGGTGGTTCAAATTGAGGAATGCTCACAATGTTTGAGCCAAATTGAGTGTATAGATTGGTTGCTTTTAGTTTTACATTGATAGTGTTCTAATTTATTTAACTTAATGATGTTGATATTTAATTTAGTAGTAGTTGGAGAAGGCAATTGAAATAACTCGTAGGTTGTTTTCATTTCTACTGTTTCCACTTAGGTGTGCTTGTCATAACAAACTTTACAGATTTGGGTACTTGAAATGAAATTTCACTTTTAGCTGTTTATAAAGAAAACAAATATAAAGAAAATTAATTGTTGACATTTCTAACAAATGAGCGTTACTGAATTTGTCTATCAGGCTTTAGGTATGAACAAGCAAGATTCTAGCTGTGACTTTAGATATCTCAAAGGCGTTTGACAGGGTTTGGTATGCTGGTCTTCAAAAGCTGAAGGGCTATTGTGTCTCTGGCCGAATATTTGGTTTTTACTCCAAATATTCTTCTTAACAAATCATGTGATGAGGGTTTTGCTAAAAAGAGACAATTTTTTCTAGATCATTTTACATTAATGCAGGAGTCTCCTAGGGTTCTATAATGTTATTATCTTCATCAATGACCTTGATATCATCAGTTCACAACTAGGTATTTATACTGATGTCACAACTATTGATTAGTCCAAGAAAGTGGCAGCTGCTCTTGAGAAAAAAAACTCCAGTCCAATCAGTTTTTAACTGGGATAAGGAATTGCTTGTAAATTTTAATGTCTCCAAAACTAAACTGCAATCTTTTAATCACCATAGAAAACCTTTTGATTTTTATTTTATTTTTTACCTTCCATCAGCATGTTAGATGCTAACCTGAGTGCAACTCATTGAACCTTTTTGGACTCATGTTTTCCACAGACATAAAGTGGAATGTTTATATTGACGTGGTTGCTAGGTTTGCTGCTAGGAAAGTTGATTCACTCTGTCATGCCAGATAATTTTTCTCTGGCGAATTCATCTTGAACATTTATGAGTCTACCATGCATTGAATATTGCTGCCATATCTGGTCTGGTGCTCCTGTCATGTATCTTGAGATTCTCTACAAAATCCAGAAGTGTGTTTAAATGTTATTGGTTGTGACCTGGCATCTCGACTTCAGTCACTTTACCACCACTGTGACATGGCTTCCTTCTTTTTTATTTTTCTGTAAATATTTTTGTGCCGGTTGTTCTCATGACTTCTCCACCTTGGTACCTTGACTGCATGAATTTAAACCTGCTACTAAATTGGCAACTAGGTCTCATTGTTTTAGAGTTGAATTAGCTCTAAATGTAGCCATAAATTCTATTGTAATAGTTCCTTTTCTCGCCTGTGGAACTCATTTTTGGTTTCTTGTTTCCCTCACAATCTTCAAAAATTTTTAAGCAATGTCAGTCACAATCTTCTGTCTTCCTGAATCCTGTGCTTTTATTATTTCTTTCTTCTCACTAAACTCTTCTCATTCTCTTTCACTCTGAGTAGTCACTTGCATGTTAGTGGCATTATTGCCTTGCTTTGTGTGAAATGATTTAATATAAAAATAAAAAAAAATATGTAGCTAGTTGCATGAATAATCCTTATGCCCACTTTTTAAAATAAATTCTCTTTTTTATAAACTTGGTAAGAAACTTGTAATAAAATACTGTAAATATTTGTATGTGTCTATTGATTTGATTGCCAGAATTATTTTTATGATATAAAAAAAAAAAAAAAGTAAATTGAATGATAACTTTACAGAAAATTCTTGTTTCTTCATTTAATAAGTTATTTGTCTTTAGCTTATTTTAAATTTGACTTGTTAGTGGCAATGAACTTGACAGCACTTTAAATTAAATCTGAAACTGTATTGAATTCTAATTTGATATCAGTTTGTGAATTTTGCTGAGAAATTACTGCTGCCACCTGATCACTTTTTGTCTTCATTCTGTTGTTTTTATTTTTTATTTTTTTACTTATTGCTCAAATTAAGATTTGCGTCATAGTAATTATTGATATTGAAATAAAGAAGAGCATCTCCCCACTGAAAGTTAGCCCGAGTATTTTCTTATGTTACACTCTTGAAATGTTAAGAAGTCTAGTAAATTAAAACATTTTTAAGCTTTGTTTGGGCAAACTGTATTGCAATGAAATGATGACTAAATTACTTTAATTAGATAAATAAAACAAAAGCAATTACTTATTAGCAAAATATATTTTGGGAATGGATTAATTTATTGGCAAATTTTCTTCCTGGAGGGAAACCTGAGATGAATAAACCAAATCTTTCAATTGTAAAGAAACCAGGAAACTAAGTGGTATGATGCAGTGTGGGATAAAAGAAGTTTCAAAAGGGAAATTTTCTTGTCAATATCTGTATATGTTAATTTTTTATTTATTATCTATACTAGATTCTCTTAGTGTTGCTTTTTATTGCTGTGTTTAGGTTGTTTTACAATCTTCAAATTTTAAGTAAGCAGCATGAATTTGAAATAAACCTTTGATGAGATTTGAACTCTCATCAGAAGTTCACATGAGCCTTTCTTATAAGGCCAAAGTAATAAAATCAATAAGGAATTGTCAATATCACAGGTTCTTTTAATATATTGGATGTAAGTTAAAATATCATTGGAGACTATTTCCAATCCACATTGTTTACTTATTAGTCATAGAAAAATGAAAATTTTGAGCATTGTAATAGAAAGCAAAAAACAAGAAAAAAATAAAATTATTAAAGATTAATAATGCTTAAGCTAATGTTTTATAGCCCCTTGGTGGTGGTGGTCTTGGGGCGATGATGTTGAGTCATTCATAATAACATTGCCTTCTCTCTCTCTCTTGTTATCTCTCGACAAAACATTTCTGGGGTCCGGAGATGAAAGACATCAACAAAGGGAATTTTAATCTTAACTAGTTTATTAAACACATTGACATGTACATTTCTAACTAGCCAGTGGGGTTGTTCTCCCCCTGCACTGGGGAGCAGTTTCCAGAGATAAAAGGAACACGTTTACATTGTTCGATATGTAAGAACCAACTCCCCAGAAACCTTTCTCTATCATTCCCATGATAGTTCAGCCAATCAAAATTGACTTCCTTTATTTTGTCTTGTATCTAATCCTTAACGTCAAACTGAAGAAGTCTGAGCAGAGATACAATTCTCTAAAAAATAATTGTCTGCTAAACTGTTATTTAATGCTAAGAAATTTTGTCAAGACCTTTTTATTCTACTGCAGTGATGACTCTAGATAAATTGAATGACTTAGTCTACAAAAATGCTAATATTTAATAGAATTTAAGTCATGATCCTGATCTAATTTAAAAATAGAAACAATCCACAGACATGTATATGTATTTATATTAGAAGAAAGATCCTTGTAAATAGTACAGATTAAACTTAAACTTTCGTCAAGTAGGCTGACTCCTTTTCTTACACTGTTTTAAATTGTAGACCCGGGTAATGTTCTAATTTAACTTATGATGTTGATATTTATTGACAGTGGCTGGGAGAAGGGAATTGAAGTAACTTGCTGGTAATGTTCGTTTCTACTGTTTTCACAGATAGAAAAATCCTTGTACATAACAGACATGTAAAAGAACATGACGATATTAGCATTCCTAATAAAAATTACCAAACTTGCCCTGAACAGCATTTTTTTTCTGAACATAGCCATGGTGTTTTGGCTGTTTAGAAACTGAACAAAAACTCCACAAAAAATGAAATTACTACTACAATTACTTGGACAACATGGTATAGGAAATAACACAAGTATAATAACAATCTTTATGAGCATTAAGAAAAAAAACAAAACTTTTTGAGCAAACTTTTGGCAATAACTAGTTTTAAAGAAGCTCAGAAATTACCATTGTCTCTAACTAAAACTTTTAAAGTATGAAACATTTTAAATATTTGCATATATTAAAAATTAATTTCTGTTAATAAATAGTCTTCATTTAAAGCATGAATCAGTTTTTTTAGTTTAATATTCAGGAAGTATTGAGCATAAATAAGAAAATGCAGACAACATAATGTTTTTGATATTATATAAATACAATATAATTGCAAAATTAAACGTTATTTTTCTGATGGCATGGATCAACTAGTTTATATCTTTCTTTCTTTTTCTTTTTTTTTTTTTTTGAGACCTTCTAAAAAGTAAACAATAGTAAGAAAATTTATTTATGGTGCTATCCAAAAGAAGTTTGGGAATTTAACTCCCAAAAAATGACAGAAAATGGATCTTTATTTACTGGGGTAATTTTGAGAAATGCTGGGTAACTTCATAAAATGAAAAGAATTATAAAAATTGTTCAAATTTTAGGCAGTACCTTGTATATAGAGTGCATTAAGTTGCTTATGATAAAAATATAAAGTCATTAGAATTATTATGGCAACTACTTTTGTCAGAGAAATTTTAAATCATGATGGGCAAAATTTTTATCAGTATTCAAGTTATCTTGCTTACTTCATCTTTCATTTAAAAGGAATATTATGAGAATTACTTTTAAGATTATTACCTATTAGATCATTATGGACCTGCCAAGTGTTTAACCTTATAGCATTAGCTATTGATGAGATATCTGTAAAGAAATTTCTTTCCAGGATCTTCTTGCTCTGGTAGTGAATCGGTGATTCATGCCAACTTGTTGAGGGTGATAAAGGCAGTGAGAAGTAATGACTCTTTTGAAGCAGATGAGATATTTTGCCAGTATGACATCATATAAAATCCTGGTCCCAAATTGTTAAATGGTCAAACTTTAGTGGAGCAGTTAAAGAAAATATGAGCAAAAGTCAGGAAATATTTTGGGTTATTACCAAAAATCTATATTAAAATGATGTAACTTCCTCCTCTTTAGATGCCAAAGTAAATCATTACAATCTAATTGCTCTTGAAATGAATCTAATTATTATCTAATCATTACAATCTAATCATTCTTGTCAAGAATGAATAAAACTTAAAAAGCCATATATATGCTGTAATAAAGCATTTGAAATTGATAAGGATTGAAAAACTGAAAATTTAATTCAAAACATTTCCACTTCAGTTTTCATTTTAAATAAAACAACACATATCAGGTATTTTTGTTGTCATAGCAATTTGGATGGTGTTTTCTATACTTCTGTTTTCAGGTTCATAACAAATCCTTGTTCACAAATTAATTTGATGCTAAAATGCACCAATAAATTTGTATGTATCTTAACCACTTGGGACTGGCATATTTCTGTGTGAAAATCTTTCATTGGCCACTTGTTGCCTTCATTGCATTTATTACTATCTGTATCATCTTGAATCATTATTTGAGCCATCACTAGAGTTTAAGAAGATCCAAAACATAATCTCATCAGTCACTACTAAGTCAAAGAATGATATTGAATTTGGTAACTAATTCTTTCTGTCTTATGCTTAGTAATTTTAAGAGTTTCTGCTTGATACAAATTTGATTTTTATTCATTTTATTTTCTCCTTGTAGTTCCCCATGGACATGTCAGCAGAAAGTTACGGTAATTCGGTATGCTTATGTTGCATTTCACTTTGGTTTATTATTCTGCTTTGAAAATATAATCTTACAAATATTGTCTGTGTTTGGTTTGATGAATTCTTGTGTTCTTTAATTTCAGGCAGATGTTGAATATCAATGGGCTATTAAATGCCATGACCATGCTGAAGTCCATTACAGTGTAAGTAAAGATCTTTTCCTAACATGCTATTGTGATGGCATAGATATTAAAATCTGTTCAAAACAAACCCCTAATATAAATACAACTGCAAAATATTCCAGAATATATGGATCACAATAAATTTGAACTCCTTTAAACAAAAAAAAAAATGAGATTGAAGAAACAATTTAAAAGAATTAAATTATTCTAGGAGATATGCAAATTTAAAATTGTTCATTTACATTTTAAAATTAGTTTTTGCTTGAGGAATTAAAATTTTTCAAATTTAAACAATTGGATGAGGTAGACATTATATATTTGACTGTGTGGTTTGACCTTGGGAGATCATGATTGTACATATGGTCACATGAGGAAGGATAGAGCATGTCATCTGGTTACATGATTTAAGTATATGTATGATTATGAATTTAAACCATAAAATCATAAAATAATCAACCTGCTAGCCAATTTTCAAGTAGAAGCAGCAGGAGCAAGCAGCAAGGAAGAGATTTAAGACATTCCTGCTCATTCATGAAGTTGGAGAGGGTCAGACAAGATTTTTATGTTTAACTAAAGAAATCTCATCCTTTTTGTCTAAGTGCCATACCAAAAATAATTGACATGGAATGAGCTAGGTTTAAATCCAGGCTTAACTTGTGTTTACTCGTACAACTGAGTAAGGCCAAACAATACCTGTCCACTTGCTTTTACCATTTATGCCAAATCCAAGTGCCCTATTGAAGCAGGCATTATGCTGAAACTGCTAAAATCCAAAGGTAGGCGCTTACATAAACTGGAGCAAGAGTTCTGATACAAAGACCACTGAAAATTTAGGGTTAGCTTAAATGAGAAGTGATAATTACTGAAAAGATCATCTCCAACAGTGAAAAAAAGAGGATTTCTTTTTTCTTTAAGGAAATGTTAGATAAAACATTCAGTTTCCTGTAAACAAGTGATAGTTAACAGTCCTTAGAGAGATGAACATAAGGAGTAAAATTACCCAAGTACAAATTTGTCAAACTGTGGCCATCAAAATTTCATCATTTCTTTTCCACATCAAATTCACTTGAGAAGCAGTTAAGCAGAAAGTCACAAGTGGAGTCTCTCTCTTTCTCTCATGCACATGCACGCACGCGCGCACACACGGGTTGTGTGTACTAATGCGTCTGGTGAGAGAATTGATCTATGGTGAGTTTGTATTTATCCCTGTGAGATTCTGTGATCAAAGTAACTTTGATGAAACAGCCTATTTCTATTAAAGGAAGAAAGAAAAGAGAATTCACTGAAAAAAGAAAGAAAACCCACAAGCCATGAAAGAAGAAGGAAAAAAAAGACCTCAGTGAAGAGAGAAGTAAGAAATCTTGAAGTAAGAAGAAAAAATAGCAAATAGAGAAAGGTTGCTGAACCAAGTAAGCAAATGTGTTAAAAAAAATATCAGTGGACATATTGAAAGAAAGAGTAAAGAAACTGTTTAAGTGTCTCCATGGGAGAAAGGAAATATGATTAATGCAAATATAATATTTGTCACTGAGATGATTGATGTTATATTCAGCACCTCAACTCCAGAGTTTCATAGACGTACCTTTTTGTAATCATTCATCAGGAGGTATCATCAATTGTCTGCCGAATTTTCTCATTATCCTTATATTTATATTGTTCGAAAATAGTTTATGCACTTTTTATTGGTAATAAATTTCTTTGTGCATGTGCACATGTGTAGAATGTCATGGTTATTTCTCCTTTTCTTAATTTGTTTGTCTCTCACTTAATTTTTTCTCTGTCACTATTCTTTTTTTCTTCTCTCTTAAAAGGGAGTCTTCTGTAGAAGCACACTGGAGAGAGAAAAAGAGCTGAATATCATATTAACCAGCAGAGCCTTAATATTACTCATATTTTACTTATTCATGCCAGAGAATTTTGGGTAGATTGAGATCTTGCTGCTATTACAAATGCAGTCTTTCATTTTTAATCACTTTTACTTTTGTACAGTAGGTTATATAATCTTATATATAAATGAATGAAACATGTTAGGTTGATAACTTTTCTGCTTGTTCTTTGTTTTATTTTATCATCTTGTCAGATTCCTATTCATATCTGGTCTACATTTGATCTTCAACTTGTGTGAGTGTAAAAATGTGCCTTTTTCTTGCTTATCTCTCTTGATTGTAGTGTATTGTTTAGATACATATATGAAGTCATGAGATGTAAAAACATTTTCAAACCACAGTGCAAAAATAATTGTAAAAAAAAATATTTAAAGTGTTTTTTTTTTAATGACCTGATTAAGCTAGTAGATATCTATAGATGTAATGAAGTAAATACAGGTATTATATTTTGATCTAAATTGCATGAAGATAACCTAAATATATATTCCAAACCATTTTATTTTCTGTGCTTCAAGGGCTCCTTTGTTAAAGAATCATGCTAAATTTTGAAGCTTGTTAAAGCACAACAGTGATTCACTTAAATAAAAAGTAAGATTAATCAGAATTAAAACTCCAAAACTTTAAAAATCATATATTGGAACATTTAATAATGAACAAAATGAAACAACATATTATCATGGATTTTAGTACTGCCTTGATTTAAACCTATTAACTTCAGTGTTTTGGCTAATGACTGCTCATTGACTTTACACATACTCTGCCATTACTCATTAGCTTTACTAAATTTATATATGAACAAATAAAACTTTTCAATTGGTTAGAAAAAAATTAAGTATTTGATGACAGTTTTTGAACTGAAAATTTTTTTAGCAGATTTTGGCACCCAGTTGTGTTTGTGTTGAAAACTGAAGTGAGTGGCCAGGAACAAAATTATTATTATAGGCTTATTATATAGGAAAATATATATTTAATATATAGGCTTATATGTTTAATATTTATAGATTAGTTTTTTTTATTTTCTTATGTTAAATCAATAATTAAAGGAAATTTTATTTTAAACGTTCTGATTTTTTTCAATAATAGAGTATTATGTGTTTTTGTTTTCCACAGTTGATCTCCTCTGTTGATCCTGTCTTTTTGAAACTCACTCCTGTTGATAATGAAATCTACAAAAAATACAAGGAGAAATTTTCTAATTTGAAGCTTGATTTACTTAATGAAGATGAGATAAAATCTGAATCTAGTAAATTTGTGAGTATTTTTAAAAAACAATTTTTTTAATATATTGTTTACCATTTATATAGTTGTTAGTTGGAGAATATAAAAAGATGACTTGGTTCAGATAGCAAGTTTGAAAGGGTAACAATTTAATCAGAATAAAATTGTCAACACAAAAAGTTTCAGGTGATGTATGTTGATTAGAGAAATATCCTAAAGTGAATTTTTACAGAAATTTTTTTTCTTTTTTTTAATTTGATCCAAACATTTCCAGTGTTCTTTGACAAAATCTTTTCATATAAATTTATACCATAATTATTCAGCTATCAACTTATTTTCCTTGTTTTTTTTTTTCTTTCAAGTAAATTGTATAGTTTTTTTTTTTTTTTTTTTTTTTTAAATTTGGCTTTGATTCCAGGGAGATAGATGTATAAGGATGACCAGACAAGGAGTGTTGTAAGATTGTCTGAAGGTGACAGGTCTAAAAAATATGCTATACTAGGGAGAAATTTCTATCTCAGACCCATCAAGATTTACTGTTATATTTGTAACATTGGGACATGTTGCATAGAAATGTTTTTTTGTCCGAGATACTGTCTTGGATTTTGACTGAATTTTCTTCAATTTGGATTCTCATAAGGAATTCATTTTTCACTCACAGTGACTTTCTTTTCCAAAAATAACTTATTTTTACATTCAGCCAAAAGAGAAAGTACTTAAATATAGACTGTTGTTTGTTTCTGTAAACTTAGCTTTTAAAAAGCAGTCAACTTATTGTGGAACTAAGAGAGAAGAGTAAACTTCAGATACTTCTAAAATTTTTCTAATTGGGATACTTGAGACATTTTGTCATTTTGTCAAGTGCTAAAGTGTGACCATATATACCAAATACACACTTTTGTTTCTGTGTGTGAACTACTTGCAGAAATAAACTGCTTTAATTATTGAATCTTGAGTTTTGAGATATTAGGTCTCATTGCTTATACCAGCGTTTCTCAACCTTTTTACCCTTGTGTAACCCTTAAAATAAGTTACATATTTCAAGGAACCCCTGCGCAAAAACAAAAATTATATACCATATCTTTCTCGTTTTATTTTCATCATAGTTCACATGGTAAATATCATAGTATATATTTTTTAATAACTGGTTTAAGGAAAAATTAATATTTCTTTGTCAAATTTTTTGGAAATGCTAAATAAAATTCATACTGTTTGTTTATAATACTTCATCAGGGAGTTTTCATTCACACAAAAAATATTCTAAACTCAAACATAAAAAATAAACATAATTAACCAATGATTGTTATATTCTTTAATAACATAATAGGTTAGATAGGATGGTGTCTATATTACAATAACCAAGAATATGTTGTGTGTGTTTAGTAATATTACATATATGAAATTAAATAAAAAGTTAAAAGTGCATTAGCTTATCTCGCCTGTTCTCGTGGAACCCTTGGGTACCTTTTGCAGTACCTTAGTGTTCCAGGGAACCCTGGTTGAAAAATGCTGGCTTATACTAATGTTTTGTGTAAATTTGCCATCTGGTGGTCTTTCCAGCAATAATTAATAAGTAATGAAAATATTAAAAATCACTAATTACCTTGATACTCATTGGGTACCTAAACCTAATATTGTGGCCTTGTGTTGTTATATTGAACTATTTTAAAAAAAAAAATTTTTTTTTTAAATATTTACAAAAGTAACCACATGATGGTAGTTGTAGTATTATGCTTATTCATTGTCACATCTAGGATCATGTGATAGAAAGTACTAGGCACTAATTTAATTTTGATTATTTGTACCATTTTGTGATAAGCTCTTCCCAATGCTAGTTGAATTCCTACTAAAAAAAAGACCTCATTTGAGTTGGAAATGTTTGGAAGTTGTTTTTTTTTTTTTTTTTTTTCCTGACAACCATTTGTTCTTGAAACTTAAAATCCTTGTCAATTAATTTATGCTGACTTATAGACAAAAATATTAAATTAACTTCAATAACAGCATTTTTAAATAAATTTCAGTGTAAAAACAGAATCAAAGAAAAATGTCTTTAGAAGAGAAGTCTGTTAAAAATGAAACGTAAAACTTTATTAAAATTAACTTTCTTTGGAGAGACTTTAACATTTCTAATAAAAAAAAATATAGGATTAGTGAATTATTTCTTTAAATCAAGTAAAATTAAAATAAAATGTTACAATAAAAGTGTGGTAAAACATGCTTTTTTTTTTTTTTTTTTTTTTTTAAGAAATCGTGTTATAGATTATGTAAAAATAAAGTTGGGCATCAGTGTATTAGCTGTTATGATTTAAAAAAAAAAAAAAAATGATTTAAGTGAAAAATGTTAAATTAACTTCCAAGTTTCCTAAATTACATTTTTTAGTGAATTTTGCACAAAAACAATGTATGATTTTCCCACATTTTTAGATGTACACTTCAAGATCTTTGTTTTGATAGTTTTATTTTTTTAATCACAGAATCTGCATTTTTTGGGTCAACATAATTTTTCACTATAATAATTTAATTTCTAATATGTAATCTGGTAATTTCTAGTTAGCAAGCATTGGTAATGTGCAGCAAGAATAAAACCTTCACTTTCAGCTTTTAACCTTGTGCAACATAGCCACTGATCTGTATGCAAGGGTTTGTCTACATCAGCTTGTTTGGCATTGGCAGAGTATTGACCATGAAGAGGCTTATCTTTGATCCAGAGCATTGGTTTTCTCTGTCAGGTTACTTGCTTTTGCAGTAGGTGTATTATAGTTTACTTGCACTTCTTCACCCACTTGAAATTCTACTTTTGAATTTGTTGGCTTCCTTTATTACTTTATAAAATTTATTATTTCTTTCATGTTCATCCAGTCTTTTGTTGTTTCTTTAAAGACTGATTGTTGTAGTTTTGTAAGACAGTTTTTGTTGAACTAATCTGCCTCCTTCAGATCTGCACACATACAGATGATCAACATCAGCTTTAGGATGATGTATGCAGTAGCAATTGAGAAGCTTTCTCGTTTTGATATCCATTTTCTTAATGTCGGCTATGGTCCAGTTAAGGATATTGAAACTATATAGCATCACAGGGACAACCAAAGTGTTTATGGCTGATATTCTTTTTTGTGAATTCAACTTTGTATTTAACACCAGACACACTTTCCTGTAATATTCTTTTCTTTCTTTCTCCTTCATTTGGGTATACTGTATTCCATCTTTGATAATTCCTAAGTACTTATAGGCTTCTTCTTGTTCCATTTCCCTAATCTTTGTGACAAAATCTAGATCTATTGAGTGTGTTTCTGCAATTCTCCCTTTCTTGAATGTTACTTTTGCACATTTATCTAATCCCAAATCCATACCTATGTCATCACTCAAAACATTTTATGGTATTGAGGAGACTCTTCAACTCCTTGTCATTTAGGTAAAGAGTTTGAGATCATCCATGTACAATAGGTGATTAAACATTTTCTTATTTACTTTGTATCCATAGTAATCACTGAAATGGATTAAGTCCAATTATTTAATATATTTTCTGTTTATACATTATTTTTGTAGATCCATTGTATTTAAATAAATGCTCTGTTTTTAATTAAACAGTATTCATTACATTTACTTGCCTGAATGTTCGAGAAAGTGTGCATTCTCTGACAGGAATTGAACCTGTATTCCTATATGGAGATTGTCATTTGATCAGATGTGCTGTTAATCATTCAGCCACAGAGAAGTGTCTGGTTAGCAAACTTCAAATTACTGTTTATAAACACACCTTTAATGATTTTCTGCTCATGAAACATAGCATAAACACTGCTGACATATAATAAAATGGATTAAATTCGACAATTATTTAATGTTTTCTGTTTATACATTATTTTTATAGATACAATTGATTTAATAAATGCCCTGAAAAGGTATAATGTGGTTTTCCAGTCCCATATTTAAGGAAATTTACTTTCCCTGAGAAGACTTTAAATATTTCTAAAGCCTTAAGCATCCAAGGGTGCGGTACACTATCAAAAGCTTTACGGTAATCTATCCAAGCTGTACTGAGATTTCTACCTTTCTTTTTCCCTGCAACATATGACCCTCTTAGGCATCCCTTCTGATTCAGGGAAAGAATCTTGTTTTTATTGAGAAAGTACAGTTTTGATCAATTTATATGTGGTGGACAGACATGTTATTAGCCTATAATTTTTTGGATCATCAGTTCACCCATTTTTGGTAGGAGATATGTAATAACTTAAGTAATCCATTCTGGAATTTCATTGGTGTTATTAATTAGCTTTGATAAGGTTTGTACAAGAATTTTATGGATTGATCATAGATGATAAAGCCAAAAGTTGGATACCTTCTGGGGATTTAAATTTTGGGATTTTGTTAGAACTTGCCTTACTTTATTCTTGGTTATATTTTCCATTCTTGTACAGGTTTATCCTTCATTATTTCTTTCTATCATTAGTAGTCACCTATACAAGCTGTGCTTTTTTTCCTGCAATTTTCCAGGATAATTTTATTTATCAAAAGTTGATCTTTGCAACCATATGAACCTCTTCAGCATTATTATTATTAGTAGTAGTAGTAGTAGTAATAATTATCCCTTTAGGACAAATAACCCAATCCACTCAGTCTCTGATTAAAGGTGTTCTCATATCTAAATCTGATTCCCTAGTCAACTAACTTATCCTTTAAAATACAAATTTGTTTCAAACTGGGTGATATCTAATAAATTTTTAGTTTTTCTGCTGATTTTAACACATTCACTGCCCTAGATCAATTACAAAATCCAACTTTATAATAACCAACTTGGACTATAAAATATTATTTAAGAGTTAATTTATAGCTTTAACTGAAGTCTTAACATTGTTTTCACACTAATAATATCACTGCGAATAAACTTGTGATTGGCAGTTCATGTGTTAATGTAAGGGAAAAAACAGATTAATCTTTGTAAGTGTGGACAGCCTGATGGTTAATGGATTGGAAAATGGAATTTGAATTGTGTTCAGATTTTGACTGAAACAATTGGTGTTCACTTTGGAAAAACA